GGCACATGGGGGTAGATTTAAGGAAGGAGTTGATAAGCTCTCACTAAGGAGCAGACTCCAAGCATAGCTGGTGCAGATAAAACACACAATAGATGGTTAAGTCTCTGGATGTCATTGGAGGACACAGCACATGAGGCATGTGAAAGGAAAAACCAGGCTGTGTTGGAGATTGGAGAACTGGGATTGGAAGTTGGTTGAGATTATAACAAAGTTGCTCCTTACCATACAGTGGTAATTTGTGGGCAGAGTTTAACATGAGTGGTGAAATTGGAATCACATGATTGTTAATGAAGCATAGGCTTTTGCATTGTTTATTTAAGCAATACTACAAGCTTTGTGTTGGTAACCATGGTAATATGTCATGAATGAGTACTCACATCTGGAAATGAGTCACATTATTTGCTTATCAAATTCAATTTTCACAACGGCAATGGATGGAAAAGGGTTTTTGGTCAGATGCTTGAAATAAGATGGTAGACACAAGCTTAAGAGATGTTTTTCTGCAGGATAGAATACGTCTGCAAATATCCCACTTAGTTTTTTCGACTTCTTTTAGTGGAATGCTGTGTGGGGTATTAACAGTTCAAATGTTGTTCTTCCAAGTATAAATGGAAGCCACCATTGGACGGCATCACGCACCACACACGGGCAACTCATCTCCTCAGGGGGGTTGACGTTGAAGTCATATATGACCGTGGTTTAACAAGTGTAAAGCCTAGGGTTAGGTTTTTGCTTCTGGGCCCAGTAGTTCAAAACTTTTAATCTCAATCAGAACCGATCAGATTTTGAAATCCCATTTTTTGTGATTTTGTCCCAATATTTCAGAGCAATTCAGGATAGGATCACCCTGATCCAGATTCAGACTTTTCAAGATGACTAGATCCTAAATATCAGTGCTTTAATCCTACCGATCTCCATCTAGTGGATATGAAAAATAATACAAGGAGACCAAGAGACCACATTGCAGAGACATCTATTGTCCGCAATTACTTTTGAAAGGTGATGACAGACTTTTTTTTTTGTTGAAGATATGTTTTCTTTCATCTAAATTACATTTGTGATTGACAATCTTTGTTGTGATACTTTTATGAGCATAAACATTTATGTCACCAACATAATAGGCCACCACAAACGTGACCAAAAAATGAAAAATAAAATTGATTTGCCATGAAGGCTAAAAAATGTTTATTAGTTCAGTTAACAAACTTTGCCATCTTATTTATATTGAAACATATTTTTAAATAAATTGTACAGTACATTTTGCTCTGGTAATCCACTAGAAATCCACCCCTTTGGTGGGATCAAGATAATCCAGTTTTTTGGAATCAAACTGATCCCAATCCTGTGTTGTCGGTTTGAACTACCCGTTTTGAAGATTTGATCCAGATTAAAGCTGTTACGATTCGGGAAAGGTATGACCCAAAAGGCAAAGGTCAACAAACAAAAGCAAGCTTTATTTCAAAGCCGATCAGCAAAAAGAAACATGGCATGGATAACACATAAGCAAAATAGCATGGCATGGATAGCACATAGGTAACACGAGGAACATACAATACCCAAACACGGTCGTGACCAACATGGAGGGAGACAGGAAAAAACAAACAATGACACGAACAGGGGAGGGGTAATCACGAGACGAGAAACAGCCGGGCAGGGAAGGAGAAACACAAGGGCAACAGGTGAACACAATCAGACAATCAGACACACCAGGGAAACTAACGACAGGGAGGAAAACACAGGGAGAAAAGAACAGCAAAACAAAACCCATTACCAGACACACAAAACTAAAACCGTGACATAACTCCAAGATCGTGACAAAAGCTTGGATTTGATTTCCTGATCTGATCGGATATCAAAGTGATCCTAATCCTGTTTTTTGGTTTTGAACTACCCAAAATCCAAATCTGATCCGATCAGATAGGGATTACAATAGGCCACCACAAACGTGAGCAAAAATGGAAAAAATCTAATGTATTTCCCATGAAGGCTAAAAATGGTGTATTATTTCAGTTAACAAACTTTGCCATCTAATTTAAATTGAAACATATTTTAAAATAAATTGTACAGTACATTTTGCTCTGGTAATCCACTGGAAATCCACTCCTCTGGTGGGATCAGGATAATCCAGTTTTTTGGGATCAAACTGATCCCAATCCTGTGTTGTCGGTTTGAACTACCCGTTTTGAAGATTTGATCCAGATTAAAGCTTGGATTGAATTTCCTGATCTGATCGGATATCAAAGCGATCCTAATCCTGTTTTTTGGTTTTGAACTCCCCAAAATCCAAATCTGATTTGATCAGATAGGGATTAAAAGTTTTGAACTCCTGGGCCCAGGAGTTCAAAACTTTTATTCTCAATCAGATCCGATCAGATTTTGAAATCTCATTTTTTGTGATCCAGGATCAGACAAGTCGGACAGATTTTGTCCCTGGAGTTCAAAGCAATTCAGGATAGGATCAGCCTGATCCAGATTACGATTTTTCAAGATGACTAGATCCTGAATATCAGTGCTTTAATCCTACCGATCGCCATCTAGTGGACATGAACAAATAATACAAGGAAGACAATCTATAATGTCTAATTATATTTTTTTATTTCAAAGGTGATGACAGATGATGGACTTTTTTTTGTTGAAGATATTTTTACTTTAATCTAAATTACATTTGTGATTGACAATCTTTGCTGTGATACTTTTATGAGAATAAACATTTATGTCATCAACATTTGGTTGAAAACAAAATAGGCCACCACAAACGTGAGCAAAAATGGAAAAAATACAATGTATTTCCCATGAAGGCTAAAAATGGTGTATTATTTCAGTTAACAAACTTTGCCATCTTATTTAAATTGAAACATATTTTAAAATAAATTGTACAGTACATTTCGCTCTGGTAATCCACTGGAAATCCACTCCTCTGGTGGGATCAGGATAATCCAGTTTTTTGGGATCAAACTGATCCCAATCCTGTGTTGTCGGTTTGAACTACCCGTTTTGAAGATCTGATCCAGATTAAAGCTTGGATTGGATTTCCTGATCTGATCGGATATCAAAGTGATCCTAATCCTGTTTTTTGGTTTTGAACTCCCCAAAAGATAAATCTGATCGGATCAGATAGGGATTCAAAGTTTTTGAACTACTGGGCCCAGGTGATTGCAGGTATGCTTCAAATATTATATATGAAATGTTAATTTGTGAAGATTGACTTGCTGAACAAAACATGTTGTTTACAAGTCTTGGATTATGGTCCTTTACATGAATGCCTCTGACCAGTGCCTAAAAAGTTTGGATAATGTGTACCATTGTGCATTACGCTTTGTTACTGGATGTGGATATTGTGTACACCACTGCACTTTGTATGCTGCTGCTAATTGGCCATCTTTGTCTGCATGCAGACTTTCCCATTGGTTGGGTTTTATATATATCCCTATCCCATATATAAATAACAAAGTCTACATGGCCTGCGCTCCCAAGATTGTATTCAGATGCTGGTTCCTAAAGTGAGAACAGCACTGGTATAAAAGCTTTTAAATATGCTGCCCCCTCTGCTTGGAATAATGTACAGAAGGAGCTGAAACTGTCAGATTTGATCACTATGGGGGAGTTCAAGTCCATCTTAAAGGACAGAACAAGAATCCATTGGTCAAAGTGATTGCTCGTATATCCCAAAATTGAATTGTTTTTAATGATTTATAATAGTTTATTTTATTTGTATATTGACAGTTAATGTGCCATTTCATTTGTGTTTTACGACAGCTGTATTCGCCTGCCTGTATTGTTTTGTGTTTTATCTGTTGTAACTTTGTTCATGCTGCCCACTTGGCCAGGTCGCTCTTGTAAAAGAGATTTTAAACTCAGTGAGACTTTTTACCTGGTTAAATAAAGGATATCTATATGTAGGTAAAATTAACTTCGATTTGAAAGAGCTGAAATTTGGCAAATAATCCAACAAAAGACAAATTGGCTTTTTGTTGAGGTAGCCAGCACGTAATGATGTGATCATATAAGTTCAATGGAAAATCTCTTAAACAACTGAAACTGTTCCTTTTTCAATTATGCCCTCACTATTTTAATTATGTATGCCCACACTTCCAAGCAACTTGGGTTTAAAGGTACCAACTCCTGTAAAAGGGAAATAATGAGGTTTTATTTGCAATTGTACTGAGCCAATGTAATTTCTACTGCATTATGTTTTCATTGCCTGAAGTATGCAGACTCACCATGGATTATGACACAAGGGTTTTCCCTTCATATTGTTTGTGCTTCTTTTATAATCAAGCAGTCCCCGTCAACTCCCCTACCCCTGCAGTACGCTGCAAGACAAATATGTGTCTGCACACAAGTGTGTGTGTGTATGTGTGTGTGTGTGCAGGTGTGACGTATGTGTTCCCCTGAGAATGGAAAAATGACAAAAGATGTGTTTCTTTCCAATCGTATTCCCTCTCCCCTGTTTCATAAGGTAGTGCTGACGCAGAGGCTGCGCTGTGTCTGTTAGTTTTCCGTATCCCCCCAAAGACCCCTCCACCAGAGTCTAAGCCCCGGGGGAGAGTTGGCTCCGGAAGACACCTCTTTTGTCACGACACTGACAGGCAAAGCGTGACCTTTCTCCAACAGAGCCCAGAGGTGACAGAGCTGTGGAGAAGCCCTGTGACCTCAGTGCCACTCACTCTGCCAGAGAGCTGTCAGTCTCAGGAAACTCACATTAAAGAGTTAACACACAATTCTCACCCACGCATCCGTAAGCACACACACAGATCTTGTCACTCAATTAAACAGTGTATGTGATCTGACTCTAGATGGAAGGTGCTTACGTAACACTTGAATCATCTCACAGGTGTAATTGGATGTCGGTTTGGGTCGCGTGGAAGAGGTTCTGACGCCAGCAATATCAAAGCTCACATGTTTCAAAGTCTCCCAAAAATAATTAACAAACGGGTTATTTCTGGATGGGAAAAAAAACGCAAACATACAAAAGAACCTGATATTCTTTTATTTTACATTAAAAACATACATATATGGTACAATGTTTCTGTAAAAAATTGATATCTAGTTATAAAAGGTAACTTTACCTAGTGTTTTTTTCAAATACTGCTTAATAATATTGTTAAATGCAATCCTGAAAGAAATATATTTCCTTCACATTGTAATAATAAATTGCTTTCAGAGGAAAAGCACACAGTAACTCAAAAAGACACATTCATTCAAAATAGATGCAAATTCATGTTTTTTGATATAAGTGGTTGACTGGCTGTCTTCACAAACACACAAAACACGGACAGATGTGACACAAGCTCGCAAAGAATCCTAGTTCCTTCGCTACAATGTGTAACGGCATCCTAAAAAAGTGTGAGGCAGGCAGAGAAACACGACTCCTCTGTGTATCACAGGATGTAAACACAGGTCCAAAGGCCTCGTGCACAACAATATGTTTACATTTACCATAACAATTGCATTAAGACACAAACATGGAAACACAGTTTGAGATGTAGGAAACCAAACAACAAAACCAAGACAAATGACTCGTAATAAGTGACATAAGTGGATTTTCAGTTTATAGTATCATTAATATCTACCACGGCCCATCAACTCCCAGTATTAACAATGAATGGTATAATGGCCTTCATGCCTTATTTAAACATTCCATAAAATAAAAAGATATGTTGGAGGCGTGTGGCGCAGTGGATAGAGCATTGGTGTAGGGACCAGGGGGTCACAGGTTCAAACCCCACTGCAGTCAGCATGCCGTTGTGTCCCTGAGACACTTCACCCCAAATTGCTCCTGTGGGAATTGCCCACAGTATTGAGTATGTAAGTCGTTTTGGATAAAAGTGTCTAACATGTAATGTAATATGTTAAACAACATACTTTAAGGATTTTTTTTTTGCATTAGAAATCAAAATGGCAGTCTAGACGGCCCTTACTAAATATCAAATATTTGAGTCAGGTAAGGGCAACATTTCTTATAATCAATTTGTTCTTTTGTTTAACTTTATCCCTTAGAAGTCTATTTCTATTAGAATTTAAAAACAGTCAAAAAAAGTAGATCATCCAAGACTTATATAATAACAATTCTTAAATTAAAATGACTGTCTCATTACAGCCACAGTGGAACCGGATCAGTCAAAGACCGATGTTATTCCTTCTCATCATCTACCTTTGTTCTTCGCATGAGTAAAAAACCAATACCCATCCAAAGTATTCACTGAGAATGTGCTGTATTCACACACTCGGACTGTAAACACACACAGATTTAGAGCAGTGACATTATGTGTTCACCATATAAGCAGATAAAGGCAGTGGTCATTTTCTTCTGTCTCATAGTGGTTTCCCAGTAAGAGCATAAGGTCTCACAGTGGCGGCCAATCATTTAAACCAACCAGGAATGTAGAGTGATGAGGTTCTTGGCAGGTGTGCATCCCCACCTTTACAGGTACGTAGTTTACAGTTCCTCGAAGAAGGCCACCCGGGTCTTGGTGCTCTGTAGTGTTAGCTATGGAGGAAACAACAGACCACATACGATTTTTTAGTCTGAAGTAAACAAATACTTAAACAACAAGCAAGGGAGAAAAGTTTAAACAATTGGACATTGTCACTGAAGAGTAATGTCACATAAATCATCGCCTTTGTATATTCAATGCAAGCACCATGACCACCAAGTCTGCCTCAGTTTCTGACTGAGACAATAGCAAAGCGTAGCTGATGATCAGGCATCATAAGGTGATGTCCAGAAAAGTGCGGGAAAGTACCGGATAACGTGCAATTGTCCAAAAATCTGACCAAAGTTTTGATTAGTTATAGCGTATTTTATACTCTGACTGTAGTGCAACATTATCTTGGTGTTACAGATGGGCACTGTCATGTTTGTAGGCAACATGAATTATGGGCTGTTTATTTTTGCCATGTACAGTAATTCGCCCGAGTTGATAAAGACGCATAGCAGTTCAGTATAGTTATAACAATGTTGGGTTGTGGAGTGGGGGAGATATACCTGTCGATCCTTGATGCCTAAAAAGATTCAAATTGTATGTCTGTTTCCTGTTTTATTTTTTAGAGTGTTTCACCCCATGTGTGTCGTGTCTGTTTTTACTTCCTGTCTCTTTTGATTACCTGATCATGTTCACCTGGTGCCCCTGTGTTTTTCTGCCCTCCTCAGCTGTGTCGTGTTCTTGTCCTGCAGTTATTTCAGTTCTGGTTTCATGTCATTATTTGTTGGATCCTTATTTTCAGAGAGGTTTGGGCTGTTTGTTTAGCCTTACCATGCTATGCCAGAAAACATTAACGTTTTTTTTGGGTCCACCCTCCATTTCTCTCACGTGACACAAACGATCCGAAGTCTGCAGGAAGGAATACTTCTAATATTCATTGATACTAAATGTGTTGGAGGCAACAAACTACATCAACTCCTGTCTCGCAAATGTCACCCGTTCTCATCTGGTCACCCTAGCAGCACCCTGCGGGGGTCTCTACTTCTTGGGAGCTTGTTGCACTCTAATCTTACTAAAACCAGTCTTTTATAAGAGCCTACTCTTGCTTTAGAATTATGCAGTGTGTATTTACTTATTTTCTGACGTTTATTTATTTTCTGACATATAATTAACTTCATCAGCACTACTTGTACACTGGTCTAGCAACATAACCTGCACTATTTTATTCAATGTTTCAAAAGTTTCATTTGCACTATTTGTATTTGTTGTCTTATATCTTACATTGTTGGAGGAGCTTGGGACCTAAGATTTTCATTGCCATAACTACAATGTAGCTACTGTGCATATGATAATAAAACCATTGAATCTTGAATCGTTTTATACACCGCAAAATACTGGACCAAGGTCAATTTAGCCGCCATGCTAATGAAGATACACACATTTATGATTTCTGCAAAGTACATGTAAAAAAGCTCAAACAACCACAGAACATTTCGATACAACACGTGATTGTGACTTGACTAATCAAATATGTTCTCATAAGGAGAGGATAACTGGAAAGTCTGTAGACTGTTGTGTATTACCTGAAAAGACCCCCTTAGGGTAATTCTGTTTTTATTTCATTTCTGATGGTATGTAAAAGATATGCAGCATTCTTGATACAATCTACATTGAAACCCAAATCAGGCTCGATGAGTTTGCAACAAAAACTAATGTGTAGGTTATTTTAAATTCCTTTCTACTGCGGGACTATGAAACAGAGATGGGTGTGTAGAAGATCAATGCCGGTCAGAGAAAGTACTGCTAATTGTTTTTCTGTCCAGGTTTAAATGAGCTGGTGAAGAATTCATTCAGACTGTGCTTTAACCCCTTTGGCACAGCTTAGCATTAGCTTGTCTAAAACAGCTTCTGTGAGCACTGCTTCAAAACGACTGGGCAAACTGTTTCCCCTCTTCAACATCTGTAGGGTAAAGGGAATTAAATACACTGCCAAAGTAAATAATAGACTGAGGATGATTGAAGAGAGTTTGGAAGAATCCAGCTTATTTCTGGGGAATGTGTAGATGGGGGCAAGTCAGCAAATCTGAACAGATAATGTGTGGGCAAGGGATTGATTTGCAGCACAATGTTTACAGATGAGCTTCTATTGTCCCGGCTGACAGGCAGACTGAACCGTACTGTGTGTTCTCAGCTTTGTACTGCACACTGCAAACAGTCTCCATGTCGGGAAGAGAGCAAGAACTCTTTATAAAAAGGTTTTCATATTTCACAACAGCAACCTATTGACATGAAATAAATGCGTTTGTATGTTGTATGGATACTTGTGAAGACTGCGATGAGAGCAACCTCAATGGTTGACCTCTTTTGTGCCACTTCACACAGTCTGGATAGACTGCCACATAAAAAAGAATAAAAACATTCCCTCAGTGTGATGAGGGGATGAGAAGGAGCTTTCAGGAGGGCCTTTGTAGCCGAGTGGTAACTGCGCATACCACATTACAGCAACATACACCAATTATATTACTTGCCAACCATCTTTTTTATTGAAATATTATCATGAAAGAGTACCTGATTAAGATAATGATGCAGTCTTTCTACTTCGTTAAGTGTGAAAACGTGGGTTTTAGCAAAGGTTTGACCGGAGAAAGCCACACAGCCATCCAATGTTTCAGATCAAAGTTAAACTGAACGCTGGATGGAGAACATTTAGCCCGGAGAAACAGCCTGTCTCTTCTGGCTCTCAGACTTGTCCTTTCTTGCTCTTTCCCTCTTCTTCCCCATCCATCTACATGACAAATGACCGAGCAGAAATCAATTAGCGCTTAACAGGAGTATTTTACAGTGGGACACAGGAAGGCAGAGAGGGTGGGCTTTTTTCTAATGCAATGTACTCAGAGCACAGATCACATTTGTATTTGATACGTTTTATTGAAATGACAGACACACGGGTGGGAAGATAAAGGAGAATGTGTCTAATCTGCCAGTTCATCAAAGGACAAGGGGAACTTTTTATAGCAACTCCATCGCCAATCAATTTAGGATTATCCCTTCGGCTAAAAGGAGATATTTCCGTCTCATTTCATATCGTCAAGCGAGACACTTCTGTGAGATGAAATACTTAAGCTATTCTCACAGAGGGAGTTGACCTAAGATGAATACAGAAACACAGATTTCTCTCTCAGTTGATCTGTGAGATCTTTTAAGAAAGTAGACTTAAGACCAGTAATCACTGTGCCGTTTTAGAGGTCATAGTTACAAAATGAAGGAGTGCTCCACCTCTCTGCAAGGGGTTCCATCCAAAAAGAAACTTTAGTCTGAAAAATACCCCGGAGCAAAGTTTAGATTGTTGCTATTAAGTGATGCTCTGAGAATCAGTAATAACCCGCCTATGAATAATAAGAGAGTTAGGCAAGTCCTTGAAAGATTATGTAGGATCAGTATTAAAACCACATTTACACTTCTTGTGTCTCCAGCTGATTGGACAGCTTTGAATAGCTAAAGAGTAACTTGTAAATGTAACTGCAATGCATTAGAAATAGGGCAGGGTGTTTTATTAACTACCTCTCTAAAATGATTTGATATTTTATCCAATCCAATACAAGAAAGGCTAATCTGCAAAAATACCGTACACTGCCATTCACAGGGATTTGATTTGATTCAATTAGGAATTGCACTGGTATCTTTACTAAAACAAAGTGTGACTAACAATAGTTTCTCAACTTGCCAACCCAATGACAAATGACGATATGATGCAAGGTGCAGGCAACGACTGCATGTAGTTATGGCTGTAACCAGATTAAATATACACTTTGCAAATGTTTCATTAGGACAGAAAAGCAAGCAATATACATCTGAGTCTGCAAACACATCTGAGTCACCATGATTACAAACAAAAACTCTGCCCTTAAATCTTGATGAATGATTTTTCTATCTATCAATTCCTCAGTAGGGCTGCAGGATTAAAGCCATAATGATTGCACTTAAAACATCACTGTTGATTAGGTTTATTAAGTTGTGGGAATCGTGGTCGCCATTAATTATCAATTGATTGTGCAAGTCTTTCTGCAGGGAAATTGTCAAAATCACTTTAAGACAGGGGTGCCCAATACGTCGATCGCAAAGGTAGTGTGGGTAGATCGCATGGCATTGAAAAAAAAGAAGAAGGAAAAAAAACAAACATTTTTAAAAAAAATTTTTTTTTAAGTTAGCCTATCATCCATCCTTACTATGGCATTTGCCACTTGATTGACGTACAGGTAAGCCAGTCTGAGTTGTATTGTGCCATACGGGTCCATACAGTTATGAGGGGGCTCTCTTAAAGCTCCAGCTGTTTCGGCTCCCAAACGGCTCTTCATCTTACCGCAGTTTACCACAGAGCCTTAGTTTCGCCGCTGCGAGGCTCTGGTGCTCGCAGCTCACGCGCGTGCTCCACTAGCACCGCTCATCGCGTCCAAATCGCGCACGTTCCGTGTTGTCCTGTAGCAGGCACCGCCGATGTCGGGGAAACAATCTTCAATACTCCGAAAAGAATCCACCAGACTCCTTTGCCCCTCCAACAGAGGGATGTCCTTGTCCTTTTCGTTATTTCAAGCGATAAAAACTCTCGATCTTCTCTCTAATTATTCATATTTTTGGACGCCCTCGGCTCGAGTTCAGGGCGTCCCGAGCTGAATAAGGGTGTCATATGACGGCAAGACGCCCCCCTGGCGGAAACGCTGGTGGGCACCCCTGCTTTAAGAGTAGAGTGTATTTTGGAGAGATGTACGTTTGGCATGTGTTACAAAGTGTGTTACCTGTACAGCATGCAAGCAGCCAAGCTGAGATTTACCTTTTTAAAGTTGCTGTGCTTGCTGGTCCCCTGCTCGGTGTTCTGGTTGTGAATGATGTCCAGAGGAGTCTCTCTCTCTTTCATCTTCAGACTCTCAATCTCTGTCTTCAGCTCATTCAGCTGCTCCTGCAGGTGCTTGCTCTTCTCCATGTACTCCACTCTGAACAGGATCACATTGCAGGTTGAGAGACACTTAATACGAATCTAAGTCCCCGTCTGCACTATGTCCTCATTAGATATAACTACAGTACTATTTTGAGAATCTGTGCTCTAAAATGTGCAAATTATTAGGACGTACAGCTTTGTAAATGTATCTATGACAGCCGGTGGGGGAGGTTTGCTTAATGCTTGTTGAAAAGTCCATTATAAAAATGAAAAAAAATAACACTTCTTAATAAGAAATCTCCCTGGTCATCACTGGCATGCGACAATTGCATTTTTTTATTAAAGCTCTTAATTCCATGGCAGTCTTTCTTCTTCTTATGAACAGTAACCCACCAATCGTCGACCTGTAGCCTCTCAGCTCACTTGCCTTATTAAATCAAACTGAATGACCTAACTATATAACAGCAAGGAGGTGATTACTCAGCTCGGTTTAAAAGGTGTTTTTCCTGTCTGTAATCACTGACACCAAGAGCTAAAAAGCTAGAATGCTGTCAGTGACATCAGCGAGGGTCGATCACCAACTGGAAGTACAATCCTGAATTCATGTACATCTTTCTCAATCACATGCTAGTGTATTACAAATCTGTCAAACTTTATTTAATCAGATTTTGCAGAGGCTGCAAGATATCAGGCAGCCCCAGCAGAGTAAAGCCAGCCACTCACTTCTCCTTCTCGATCTCCATGGAGAGGCGTTTCATGTCGGTGTCTTTAAAGTCAAAGCTGAGGTTCTCCCTGCTGAAGCTCAGGTCGGGAGGCATGCTGTCAGATGGCAGGCCAGGGGACTAGGAGGGGAGATGAAAGGAGAGAGATTAGAGGGAAGGAGGTGAAGTAGACGAGTTGGCAGTGGGGAAAAAAACTGAATAAAGAAGACATGAGAGTGAGAGGGACACGAAAAGGAATGCATGGAAAAGGCATTAGGGAATAGGGACATAAGGGAGAAACAGAAGGGATGAAAGATATTGACCTTGATGGTCATGGACCGTGATCACCCAAATGTACGCTTTTAGATCCTGACCAAAGGTCTGAAATGCATCGGCCACATGTCACTTTGGGAGTGAGCCAGTAAAGAAGTGGACCTAATACACAATATAAATGTAAATCCATTGGTTGGTGTGGGATTCCAAACTACAGTATGGATTCAATTGAAGTAAATACAGACTGGACAAGCAGAAAAAAGGCTATTTGTCCGGTAAAAATTGGAATTGTAAATAATATGTGTGTGTGTGTGTAGAATTTTTTTTTACGCATGATCTGATAAATCTATAAGGGAGTTCGTGGTAGCATGTCTTTTGTATTTATGTGCACCAATCTGTTTAGGCTTTTCATTCATAACCTTACAAATAAGTCGTTCTTTATCGATGGCCAGCATTATAATCTGTGTGTGTGTGTGTGTGTGTGTGTGTGTGTCCTAGCATTACTATACTTGTGGGGACCTACATCTGTTTACATAGTCACGCGTGGGGACTCGCCTCCCTTATGGGGACAAATTGGAGGTCCCCATGAGGGGAATCATTAATTTTAGGGTGAAGACTTGGTTAGGTTTAGGATTAGGGTTAGGGTAAGGTTAAGGTTACGGGTTAGGGTTAGGCATGTGTTGGTTAGGGTTAAGTTTAGGATAAGTCTCCAGGAAATGCATGTATGTCAATGTAATGTCCCCTGAAGTGATGTATACATGGTATGTGTGTGTGTGTGTGTGTGTACATGTGTATGAGCAGCTGAATGTGCAGTGTGTGGGTTTTTAGCATGTTGGGAGCTTTTGCGTAGGCTGCCTTATGTGCTGCCTGATCTTATGCAAGTATCTCCAGTTCAGTGTGGCTGTGCGAGGCTACAGTAGCATGTGTGTGTGTGTGTGTGTGTGTGTGTGTGTGTGTGTGTGTGTGTGTGTGTGTGTGTGTGTGTGTGTGTGTGTGTGTGATTTTTGCAAGGCTGAAACAGTTAACTATTTACATTATTTATTTATCTCTGTCTAAAAATATATTTAAAAAGATGCTCTTCCCATTTTACCACATCTCACTCTGGAAAAGCCGCGACTTTTTTGGGATACTAAAACATGTATCCAGGAACTATGGAAGAAAAATGTCATTTTCGGTTGTGTAATCCAGATTAAAAAGAAAGTAATACAAAAAATTGACACAATTATATTTAAAAAATAGCACAAAAAAAGCTGTCTTAACTCTCAAATATTGAGTTATCGTCCCTGATACACCACATCAAACTGAACGACATCACTTTGAGAATTGCAGGGGTACAAACTCATCAGAGGCGAACAGGGGGAAAAGATGCAAAACCACACTAGCGGTTTCACAGGAAGATAATAAGAAAGCGGTTGAATGTTTTCAAATGTAGATCAACAGTGGATTTAAGCATGGAGATAAAGGAAACAATTATGTATGGGGGATATCAGTTTAGAGCACTTGAAACAAATACATTATAAAAAATATGAATGCTCATGATTCAGTTACCGCGTAGACAGCCCTGCTGGTGATCTCCAGCAGTTTGTGCTTGGCCCTGCGCTCCGACTCCTTGGCTTCCTGCAGGTCCTGTCTCAGCTGCTCAGCCTCTCTGGCCCTGAGGGACAAACACAGACAGACGCAGTTCATGCTTTAATTCACCTACCAATCCTTCAAAGGAGACAGCATTATCTAAATTGAATCCAGAATCATCTTACATAATCGGTACGTTGGTACTCGAAGACCCTGGGAATGTCACTCTGTTATTACCCGGGTGATCAACGTAACACCGAAGCACAAAATCATTTCTGACTCCATTACTCCACCATGGAGTTTGAATGTTATGTGCAGTTGATTACATTTATTTTGATTGTGTTGCTGAACTCTCAGCGGTTCCTCGTTGATGTGGGGGAGCTGTGTGCCTCGAGGGTTTGAGTGGACAGTCATTTACATGTTGAGTGCCACAGGTTTTAACTTCCTCTGGTGCAGAAAGTGCTCATCCAGAAATTGCAGTTACTGGCAAGTGGTTAATAGTGCCCATTTGAAATGATTGCCTAATAAATTGTAAAGTAGAAACTGTAAAGTGATATTCTTAGTATCCATGTAAACTGTTTTATGATGAAAACGACCTCAGTTCTTTGCTTCAATGGATCAGCATCTATCAGGCTCATCACAGTGCTGATCAAGAAACACTCATCACTTCATCTCCTCATTCTTCTGACCTGAAAAGAACTAAAGATAAGTCAACAGCAGATGGTTAAAAGTAGCGGATTGGAACTAGGATGTGCCAAAAACATTCATTTTTAAAGCAGAGATAAAAAACGCATCAAAAGTCTGTTTCAGCACTGTGGAGCTTCAGTGGGAATACAACAGTGTGTTTGATAGGGATTCCCACCATCAATCGATTCTACTGCTAACAATGAACTAGCACAAATGAACTGCGGCACCTTAGTGCTAGGAGGAGAGCTGCTCCCCTTTGTAACTTTCCGTGCGCAGCAGCGTGGCAGTAACCACATGATTACCTGCTGCAGTGCAAGAACAAAGCCTTCCAAATTAAATGATTTTAAACAAGTTAGAAGTTCTTCGATTGAGCCATTTGAATGCAGCTGCAGCGTTATGCTCACAGCGTATCGACTGATTTATTTTCTGCTGAGCAAACTGAAATAAAGTATAGGGATTTGGGAGGGAGGCTTGCATTATAAAGGTAACACTTTGGGAAAGTGAGTAGGTTGTGGGGTTAAGTTGTTTAAAGGTCCCCTATTGTACTGTTTTTCATCAATATATTATAGGTCTCAGATATATACAAAACATGTCTCTGAAGGGTTTGGCTCAAAACACCAAACAGATCATTGTAGCATTACCCATAATCCCCTCTGTTTCAGCCCTGTTTCCAAAGTGCTGATTCTCTGTCTGTTACTTCAGATGAAAATAAGGAGCCCCTCCCCACGCCCCTCTGAGAGATATCTGGTTAAAAAGAACACAATGGAGCTCTAGGAGGAGATTCAGGTGATAAGGTGGGGGGGGGGGGGGGGTTACCTTGGTTGGTGATTGGCTAATGGTTACACAAGCCAAAAAATGGTTATGACATCATAAAGTGGCCAAAATCTGATCAGCTCATTTTCAGACATGTTTTTATATAAATGGATCAGGACAAAAAGTGAGAACGTCTTTTGTTCCTGAAACTTTCAGAATCTCTTTACACAGAGAGGACACATGTTGATGTATAAAAGACATGAAAAAGTGGATTTTGCATAATGGGTGACCTTTAAGGATCTAAAAAACCTGTGCATGTGAGATGAATACAGAAAAAGAGAATGTATGCATGACAGAGAGTGTTGACAGAGACAAATCCACTGCAACATGACTGGCTGTACACTCTCCTCCTCCTCTCCCCACCTCCTCTCCGATTCGTCGGCCATCTTGAGGGCCAGCATCTCTGCCTCCAGCATCTTCTGCTCCATGAGCCGCCGCTCCTCCTGGCCACGGATGGCCGTCACTTTGATGCGTTGCATTTCTGTCTCGGCCTCTGCAGCTTTCTGGGCCAACAGCTTAGCCTCCTCCTCTGCGATCTGGGCCTTCTCAGCCAGCAGGTCCGCTGTCTGCTCCGAACGCAGCTGGAGAGGAAGAGGAGGGAGGACAGACAAAAGAAGGATGGGGAAAGGGGGAAAGAAAAGTTGGAATTGGGAGTTGTGGGGAAATGGAGCAGAGAAAGAGAGATGGAGTTACGGGATGAAACGGGAGAGAGATTGATCGAGGGGAAAGAATAGACAGTGAGAGACAGCAAAGTGGAAGAAATGACGTGAACAGAGGAAGTGAAGTGAGAACGGTGTGACACGCAAGAAATGTTGCTGGAACTTTCCGTATATGTGACGTATCTTACCAGTGCGTCGTTGGCCATGTGGGCCTCGTCCTGCAGCTGAATCAGCCTCCTCTTCAGCTCGTCCCTGGCTCTCTCTGCCTCCTCCCGCAGCTGCTTCTCCCGCTGCAGACGCTGCCTCTCTACCTGAAGGTCACAGGACAGAGGATATGGTGGGGAACAAATGAGTGGAAATATGGATGGAGAAAGAAAGAAACAGAACCAAACATCATTAAAGAAAATGAGAAAGCATCATACAAGAGAGGGAAATCAGAGCACTTCTTTGTTGTATTGTTTTTTCTATATTAGGACCCTCACTAGCCTGAGCATTGGCAATTCTTCCTGGTGTCCACACAAATATAGTCAAACACACATGTACACACTATTGCCACAAAAACACAACAAACAAACAAACAAAGCAACTAATGTCATTTAATTAACATTTAAGGATGGAAGTGAAGCAAAATAATCAGCGGTTTAATTAATAAAAAGGTAATTTTGTGTTTGTATTAACAAGTCAGTGCCCTTAAATACTCTATGTGGGTGCTTGCGTTCCCTCTGTTGTCTGACTTGTAAAACAGATTTGAGAATAACAGCCACAAAGATGTACTGTACTGTTCAATTGAGTTACAAATTGCAAAATATTTGCAATAACATCTCATGTTGCCCTCTTTCTCTGTGTGTCCAATGTTTCCAACTCACAAAAAGTAGCATTATCAGTGCCGTCTTCTTGTGGAAATGTATACTACATTTGAAGTGGAAACCTGGCTACTAACAAGTTCATTCCTATACCCCCTTCTTTGTTTCCTGACATCCATGTACCTGTTTTCGGGCCCTCGCCTCTCTGGCCTGAGATTTCATCTGCTGGACTTCCAGCGAGTCCACCCGGCGGCGGCGTATGAACAGGTCATGGTTCCCTATACACAACTGGAGGATCTGCACAGAGAGAAACACAACCAGAGAATGGTTTATATTTACAATGATGTGTCAGAATATCAGTTCATCCCAAAACTCTCATTCACCAGCATCTTCCACATGTTATGAAGACCTTCACTATGAGAAATGACAAACTTTTACAAACTCACCAACTTGTTGACTCTTAGACGCGAAGAGTTGAACTTGAAAACATTGGTTTTCTTGCCGAGAGGTCTGATGGTAAACTAAACATTACCAAGACAAGAATACCAGATTGTTGATCAATACACAAGAGAAAACACCTCAACATTTCAAAGGAGCGAACAAAGAACATAAACTATGACACTAAAGTATTGCCTATATGTAGCTCTTTATTTAACTGAGTACCGCAGATCTTTGTCACAAAGAACAACAGCAGATTCTCCCACCTCCTTGTCGCTGTAGGAGATGTTGCGGATCTCATTCCAGGGGAAAGAGCACTTTGGTGTCAGCCTGTTGTCCGGCTCGTAGATGTGCAGCCCCAGGGCGTCCACTCCCAGGAGAAGATCTGTTCCCTTTTTATTCTGAACCACACACACAGCAGAGTGAACAAAGCTTCTCTTCTACCATCCATGCAGCCAACATGTATACTGTATGTACTTGCATGTGACAGAGGTGTCATTGTGGTGGCTCTGCTAGCCAAAAATATACAAAAATAACAAAGCCAGTTGTGCGGGCCACGGGGGTATGTGCAGTCTGGGCTTGTTGCTAATGCTACAGTCTATTACTTCATTTGAAGTTGACCTGCTGGTTTTCAAATGACTGAGCGTTTTAGAGAATTCACTGATCAAGGCTAGAGCGCCTCAAGTAAATGTTCATATTTCATTATGACTCAGCTGTAAAATGATCCACTGCCTTGAAACAGTTAATTATTTAAGCCCACAAAATACACATTTGTTTTTAAATTGTTAAAGATTAAAAAATCCCTTTTAATAAGGGACATTAAGCACAGGATAATTTACCACCCTATCTCATCACACCACAGTACAATTGACAAGCCTCCTATCTCTTTCACCCTGCACGTCTTTTTGTATTGCTCAAATTGGTTATTCTTCTTGGCCTTTTGAATAGTTTTCTATGTTTTTTGAATATGGCCTATCAGATTCTGGCATGAGCTGGATTTGGTCATGAATCGACCATAATGCCGTAAAAAAACAATAACAAAGATGTCACATGCCGCTGCATGTACAGAAGTGAAGAAGGAGGCCATTGAAGTCAGCTTTCGTTTATAAGATACCAAGATTGAGTAATAAGACATTATTTATTGTGCATTTTCAAAGGTTGCTCTTCTGTACAAAGTTGTGTTTTGATGCAGAGTCGGAGCCAGCTTCACTAAAACAGATTTCATCCATAACTTCAGGATGTCAGAGGGTACTTTTAATTACATCTGTTAACGCCCATCCCAAAACTCCCAGCCAGGAAACTATTTAGGACGATTTAAAAAATGTAGGGCCATATATGAAAGTGGCCCAAATCAGAATTGATCATATCAAATTCCATGTGACTTAAGATGTTTACATTGTCACATATGCACATAAAAAGAAAATCAGATTTGGGCAACTTTTGAAAACATATTGGCTTACTTTGTATAGATATAGCAAACGTTGGCTTACCCTGATTAAAAAGTAATTGACGCCATACATGTCCAGGTCCTGAGCTATTTTTAAATACTCCACCTCAGCGTCTTCCCTGGTTCAAGACAGACAGAGAGAGAGAGAGAAGGAGAGAGAGGGGATCCAAGGGAATGAAGAAGAGGAGGAAAGGGCAGGAGGAGAAGAGGGACAGAAGTGGAGAGAAGAAGAGATCAGACTTTTATTCCTTTGCTTTTGTGGAAAGCATCTGTCATGTGTGATCTACAAAAGCTCTGTCACACAGCTCTTGCGAGGGTGAAGACATAAGCACAGAACTGACAGAAGACACAAGTATGATTTGCTAACAGGCTTTAGAGGTCATGCTTGATGGAAGAAAACACTTGTCCTGATGCCTCAAAGACTCTAAATACTGTGACATCAATCGTTTCAAACTTGTTTTCTTCCTCTTCTCCTGCCAGATCTGTTTGGATTTCAGGGTCAACTCAGCAACAAAAAAAAGAGCATTAGCATACTTTGATGGCTGAGGAAGAATCAGGGCATGCTTCCGGCTACACTTTTAATCACTTGCTGTTTGATATGGGCGGTGGGAAATTGATGATTTAAGCTTCATCAAAGTTTAAACAGGCAAGATAGCATTATGCCAAGTAAACAAATCTTAACAAAGTTGGATACTGAGTACATTCTGACTTGAGTGTAATTGTAAGCCCTCTGCTCTGGCTTCTTTGAGCTTAGACAAAAATAAGAAGGAAATAAAATACAAATATCTGTAGGACTATTTATATTTTGTTGCACGGTTGAAAATGTTTCGTATCTTGTATTTTGAGGTGATACTGTGACACAAAAAAAACGGTTTTAATTAGATCAACTAAAAAATGCGTCACATCCAGTACTCGAGTTGAGGGGGGATGAGGGGGGTTGGCATCCCCCCTGAAATAAAAACGGTCAAAATCATCCCCCTTCTAAAACTGCCATCCCCCCTTTCCATCCCTTATGTAATTTGATCAATGAACGTGGCACTGGTATTACTGCTATTTCAACATTAATTTTGCGCATTTTGAGTAAAATACTGTGGGCGAGGGAGCACGCACACACGCAATGACATTTTTACCAAGTCACTGACGCTATACTATGCGAGTGCCCTAGAGGGCGCCAGAGCGCCGTGATGCGCCTGTTTGATCGATGCCAGAAGCGCAGGTAACGGTCATCACAATGGCCAAGTGACCAGGAGGACAACGCGATCTGAGGGACTTCATATTTAAAAATAACATTTCAGGTAAGTCAAGAGTCATTAATCTTAGTCGTTACTCACTATTTAGTCACCAAAGGTGGAATCTATGGACATAAGCAGCAATAACAACTTAGTTTGGAGTTTAGCTACGTTTTTCTCTCGTGTTAGCTAGCTGGTAAGACTCAAAACTGTTGATGAAATGATACCACCAGCACCAGGAGAGCTGAAACCCCTCCTTCAAGCAGTGAACACTTTGGTCATCTCCACAGCTGAGTGTGAATGTGGGTTTAGTCAGATGAACATTTTAACCACAACTAGAAGCTCCCTAGAGGTAAAAAGCATGTCAGCCTTGCTTTTCATCAAGTGTGTTGGCCCTCCACTGAACAAGTTCAGACCAGAGGTATATGTCAAGACTTGGCTTCAAAGCCATTGCTTAGCTAACAATCCGAAAGCAAGAGCCAGAAAAATTGAGACCAAAAAGCATGATTATGAAAATCTTTGGAAACTTCTATGAGATAGGGGAGAGTGGAGTAGGCAGCCATTGACAACATTGGTCCTATTTTGTATTATCTGTATAATCTTTTAATATATTTTCATATTTTGTAAACAATTTCAATTTGCACTTAATGTCCTGTTAAAAAAAGTAACATTGGGAATGTTAACATCAAATATTTGTATTTGAACTGCAATAAAATGATGACGGATAAAAAAAAAAAATTCTAATTTTTTTCCTCAAATTTTTCATGAAGAATTTACATAATGATTTAATTAATTACGATACAAATGTATCCCTTTAGATACCAGTTTTGATCGTATACCAGTAACTGCTTTTTTTAAAAGATACACTATAATTCAATATTCTAAAATCAATTTTGACTTTATTATTAGTATAATCAGTTGATCCATCTGAATAATAAATGAGGGACTGTTAACCTACAAGATTTGTACCATATACTTCCATTATAACCACATTTTTGTATTCCCTCCCCCCCTTTAAATTAAAGTGAAAAAAAGATTTTGCACTAATTGTCCTCTGCATTTGACCCTAAATGTTAGTGGTGCCATGGCAGCCCGGGGACCGACTCTAATTCTGAGGTGCCTTGGTCAAGAGCAATGAAAGGAGTATCTGAACATCCATAACATGCATGTTGTTTTAGGAGTATACTAATTATCTTTATGCTGGTTGGTCTCCCACCCTCGGCGGGTTATCAGCACACATTATGTCCCCATATGATAAAATCCACCATCCCCCCTGATTTTTTTTTACAACTTGAGTACTGGTCACATCCTGCTACGGTCCCGCACCAGCGCCTTTTCATGCAGGCGAATAACCTGACCCCCGGCTCGATGAGCGAACTATGGATAAATCAAAGAAAATAAAAGTACCAGAGGAACACAGGATTTAATTCTGCGTGGACAGAGCTATCTGCTTTCACAGCAAACGATGCTGGCTTACCGGTATGTTTGATATGTAGAGAGAAGTTGTCAAAGGTGCTGCAGCCTTTACGTATCGAGGAGAAAAACGGAAGAGGAAGAGAGCTGACGATCTTCAGTCATAATTCAATCAGTTAACTCTTTTTAGGGTGCAGCTATATGTTTTATTTATTTCAAAGTGGGCCCATTTTAATTATATTCATTTTCTTCAAATGTGCAGAAGACTCCCCAAGTGCTGTGTTGATTTATTTTAAAGTAGGCCTGTGTATTTTTTTTGTATTCTCCTTATAAGAGTTCTTTGTTTATTATTAGAGGTAAACAGTTTTTTAGAATATAATAAATAATAAATGCAAAAAACTGTAGTTTTTGTCTATGATGTAACAATATAAACAACTTTATAAGCTATCAAGCTATCAAATATGTTTTGCGGCTCCAGACAAAAAAAAGGGGGCAAAATGGCTCTTTTGGTCAAAAAGGTTGCAGACCCTGTCTTAGGTGCTATAGTTCTTATCTGTATAAAAATGTGCCAGTTTTAGTTTATTTTTATTTTGGCTGATGAAGGACTTTTCAATACAAAATTTTTGTTTTGTGAAAACATATACAGCAAGCCACATAAGCAGCTCTGTGAGGCAAATCACCCTAAATGCTAACATGCTTAACATGTTGTCAGTTTACAATAATATCTGTCATATGTTTGCATGTCAGAATGCTAAAATGCTAACTAAGATGGCTGAACGTGACCCATTGATGGGGCTATATGAAAGAGAGACCACCAAATGAATATAACTCATCCCAACATTTCCTGAAACATTCATTTAAATATGTGTCATGGCCATTTCTACTGATCATAATTCCATTGTTGAGGTCTACGAGAATAGATTTACATTGTGCAATTTTCCAAACTCACATTGGTTTCTCATACAGCACCTCTGTATAGTATGTGTATTCACTCTCTGTCCTAAACGGCTTGTTGGAGCTCCTGCCCCCCCCTCCCTGTGAGCCCACTGTGCTCTGATTGGTCAGCTCGCCCACTCTGTTCTGATGAGTCCACCACCATTACAGCAGAACATCAGTGATTATGTGTTACAATGGCATTTGTTAGCAACCAGACAATGACACCAGTAATGACAAACAGATGAGAATGCTGCGTGGGGTCTGGGTGCCTTGTTGGCGGGACGTTGCGCGGCTCGCTGCTGTGAGGAGCGGACAGTGTGTGCTGGGTTCATTTCCTGTTCGCTGTGTGGGGTCATAGCGAGACATTGCAAATGGACGTGGGCAGGGGGGGGTGCTGAGGGGGCTGCAGCACCCCCATCTGCGAGGCTCCACTAGCACCCCCCCCCAGCGCGTCACAGTTTCGCCGCTGAGAGAGTGGCTGTGAGGAGCTGTGAGGGTATGGTCGCGTCACTGTAGAAAAAGAGAAATCTCCAACGAGCCGTTCTGGGGCAGCACAGACAGGTCTTTTCTGTGTTAGAGTGGTACTCGCTACAGGGTGTACTTTGAGGGTTTGTGACTTTGCAGACCGTTTACATGCAGAAAAACCATCATAACACACAAGGGGACGGGCAATAACCGGAAAAGCATGACATGGGCCCTTTAAGACATATGAGGCCTTGTGGTTATGGGGAAGGAACATGTCAAGGATCACCAAAGACTTCAGGAAATGATTGTGTTTCTGTAGCATACACATGTATTTGGGATTGATGCAAAATGTCAGGTGATGTATCATCCCAGCATTAAAAGCATGTTTTACTGAAACCCAGCCCTGGTGAAGGTCAGTGAAACCCCTCATGTGCGCCCACTACACTGCATCACTTACTAAACAATTAAAATGCAAAAGATGTGACCAGCTACTCCCTCTCTCTCTGCTGGGGTTGAATATGTCATTGATCAGCACCAGTGAGTCAATTGTCACTTTCCCAAGTGCTGCGGTTGCTGGCTTTTAGAACTCATTTTCCAGCACACTTACTCCCTGTCAATGTTCAACTAAGATCAGCTTAGTAGTGGAACAGCATGAAATAACAGAACAACTATTTATCATTCTGGTGTTGTTGTAGATTTATGAAACCAATTACAGCAACAGCATTTCTATAGTCCTTTTCACTTTAAAACATTTGCTCCTCGCTGTAGAGGAAACTTCTGTGTAGCTATGCAGTGGGAGTCACCGACTCAGGAAGGAGACACGGTAGGAGCAGTAGCTTTGATGTCAAACACTGGTGGTTTATTACGAGTTAACGGCCGGAGGATTCACATCACAAGTCCAAGAGTCAGAGGTTCTGACTTCACGGTAGAGTTGCCACGTCAATTCTGGAGAGCCTCTCTCTTGCCAGCCCATCTAACTGGTTTCGCAGAGAGTAAACAACATATTTGAGGAGATAGCCTAAACAGTGTGGGAACACTGAGCTACTTGCGTCGGACACTTATGACCTCGAAGATTTCACCTTGGAGTCCACAAATACAGAGAAGGAAGTGTCCCAGTGTACCCACAACACAGACCATCTGTAACCCAGTATTGACCGGTCACAGAATGGGAACAATAACATTATTGGCTAAGCCGCCTGTGTCCTTAAAGGAGGTAAACAGACATCAAGGTTTGTCCTGTATGTCACAAATTGGCGTCTATGATAATTATTTCCATAACACTCGCTAAATGATTCTCTTTTGAAAAATAGCTACATTTGTGTTACATGGTTTTCCTCTTGTGAAAATACATGTTGTTACACTTAATGAGTTTTAAGCTGTGGAAAGCTGTGCAGTTTGTTGGTGCAGCAATAGGTGTTGAAAGTGTCATACCGTGGATTTATCAATGCTAACATAATTAATGAGGTCACAGTGACGTAGACCTTTGACCACACAAATCAAATGATTTCATTCACAAGAATACAATCTATGTACAGACAGCCTGAGAAAAGGCATACAAGGTTTCTTTCGGAAACAACTTCTATGTGAGCTTCTTTTGTCCTTCTGCCAAAATGAACTTCGGTTTTGCATAAAACATTTCTTGTGGAACAGTTTTTTTAAAACACATCCTGTGTGAACTTTCATTTAAAATGTGCTGATGGCTGTGGAACTTCACAGTTCAGTGCCGGGTTTTTTACCTCGTCCTGCCCCTGTGCTCTGCGTAACACGCCGTGATCCTTTCCTCCCACATTTCTGCAGTCATCTGGTACAAGTTTATCACCTGAAATAGGGGAACACAAACATAAATATAGATGAATGCTGCAGAAAATACAATCAATTTGCAAACATTTTGGCTCATCAATGATGATGTGTAATACCGGCTGTCACTCACCCTCTTTGGAAGAAGTTCCTCCTCGGCCAGGAAGCCAGGCTTGTGGACATTGGGGTCGTACTCTCCGTACTGCAAGATAGAGCAAAAATGGCAAAAGGGTTCAAATCACTGCACACAAATGGCCACCATCCACCTTCCCTCCAATAGCAGGCCTCTCCTGGGAGCTGTTCATAAGATGAAAGCACAGCGGCTGTGAGAAAAAGGGTCTCCTGGAGAATGAATGGAGGCTGGTCTGCCACCAGGGGCCTCATGTATAACGCCGTGCGTAGGATTCACGTGGGAAGGTTGCTTACGTAGTAGAAATCCAAAAAATAGGTACAGAAATGTTCCGACATTTTCCGATTCACCAAACATTGCGTACCGGCGAGGAAAGTGCGTACAGCACTTCCTACGCCGGTTTCCCTTTATAAATCACATTCGACTCGAAATGCGGTGCAGCTTTTGCGGGCTTCACGTAACGCCCAGATTTGCCTATAAATAGTCAAAGAAACGCCCATTCATTCATTTTGACTGACTTTATGAAGAAGATCGCAGGAAATGACGACAGAACAGCTAAAAAAGACATCTCACACCGTGTCAGATTCTGGTTATTTTGGGGTGATCGAGATAAATCATATTGTTTGGTGGATGCCGTTTGAACCAGAGTAGCAGCATGGAGGTCGGATCGTCACCAAAATAAATAAATAAGTGGTCCGAAAAAGTCTAATGACAAAATAAATACACATAGCCTTCCTCAGGCAGTGTGTTTGTACCGGGGACAGGAGACCCCCCCTTGATGAGAGACTGTAAGAAATGAACGGGGAATCCCTCCGGAGTGGAGTCATGACGACTGGATCTGAATTATGTTTTCGTATTTGGTGGTTTGTGTCCCAGCTGTCGATCAGCTGTGCGCAGCGTCTCCACTGCAGCAAATCTATATCCACCAGTTAAAGGAAATACAACTAATGTGTTGTGTTATATTAGCTGTACAATTTACCACATATTGTGTTCTTAGTTTCCATACCTCCTGTGTTTTATGAGCGACTTATCAAGTCTTAGCAAACGGCATAAAACATTTCATAACATTAACACAACATATTCGAGGTGGTTTTAAATAACATATCCGTATTTATTTATTTCTCCAAGTTATGTTTTTGTGTGCACTGAGGAGTCTCAAACAGGCGTTTGTTAAATCATTTTAAGATTGGCTTTAATCAATGTTTGAAAATGAATTCTTCATATATGATAAATGAGAGGTAACGTTTTTTTTATGGTATTATTTCCACATATTTCTCTCCATTCTTCCTTCTGCCAACGGTGTCGCAGTTTCTCGTCTCTCCCGTTTTTGGGCTTAGTGCGTACGCATGGGTTAGAGTTTGCGTGGAGGACCGCACGTTTTCCCGTCAAGTTAGTATTTTATAAATCGCAAACATTGCGTAGAAACTGGCGTACGCCATTTTTTTTGCGTATATCCCTTTATAAATGAGGCCCCAGGTCATTAACGTGCACCACACACTCAGGCTGTGAGGAGACGGTGTAAATGATGCCATTAGAAATATCTCTGAGAGCCGAGACTGATCACTTATCATCCTGGAGCCCGGATACAAATTAAAACATGCATGTTTGAGGAGAGATATGGATGGATTAGGCATGACTGAGTGGCGGTGGGGAAGTTCCTTTGGGCTACTTTAGAAATGGTGGAATGATATGAATTATTGTTTCAAAAGAGTGAGCTATGACTGTAGATTTATGCAAGTAGGTGAATTGAATTTGTACCTATATATCTGTGCATTGCTGTATGCTATGTACATGTTCTTTTCAAATAGTGTTATTGAATGAACATGTGTATTTCCCTGGCACTTTGAGTTTTGCTGTTTGTTGTTATGTTGTTACCATTTTTGTTTCATTGAGGCGCAACTTGAATCTTCACATCAGTAAAAGTTGCAGATCGATCCTGGAATTTGTTGTGGTACCACCTAGGTCAAGGTTCTGAGTGAGCTCAGCCAAAACTAGAAGGTTGAGTTAAAACAATACTGATGAGTGATTAAGAGAGAAAGAGAATTGTCAAAAGCACGACACAGGATATCCTGCACTAATTCGCCATTACTTAAAAGCCTAGGTCCCTCAATAGTGACCGCAATGTTCTGAGATTTCGAAAAAATTCAAGCTGCCCTCCGTTGTGCAGGTACAGACATTAGAGGTCAGATTATGCTACACAAAAAGATTGTGTGGGAGAGATGGGAACTTTGGGATTGGAGCCTTTGTAAAACCTATATACTACAGGAAAGGGAAATCCCAGTTGAAAATGATGTAACACCAGTTCTTGCATTCTCCTTAAGAGCGAAGTAATAAAATGTAATCGAGAGAACGACTTGGTGCAACAAATGAGTCGAGTCAAGCCTAAACATGCAGGAGAAATTACGGGTTCAAAAAAAGTTTTAAGGGCATCCTCGAAAAGTGTTTGATATTGGTGAAAAGAGTAAAGAGAATGTAAAGACCAGTCGGCAAGTGACTTTAATAATTAATGAAGTTTGATTACACAGTGTTCATGACATTGTGTTTGGCAGACATAACAACATTAAGGGCTAGAACAATGACAAGAGATTAAAAATACAATTTAGAGAACATTGATTGCTGTTTTTGTTAATGCTGGACTTGCTGTACACAATAGAAAAATAAGCGTTTGAACCACTTTAACAGTTTTAATAAATAAATTATATTTGTTGTGTTGGTTGTGTTACTTTATTATGAAGTTTAATTGGATTTTCAGTGTGAGAAACAGCATATTACAAAATATAATAGGCTCAACACAGACTGAAAGCCTGTGCAGCGGTGCAGTGACTAACCGAGTGGAGAAGCTGAAGGCCATTTAATAACATTCTCACCCTCAAGTTTCCCCTCAACAGAGCTTACACTCCCTTAGTTTCTCACGTGTTTGTTTGTAACTGCTACATAATTGACGGTAGACATATCAAGGTATTATGGCACCAACCGGCATTTCAACAGTGACATTTCTTTCCAGATGCTTTCCTTCCTTTGAATGATTTCAAACCAAAAAACATCAACAATTGATTCTCAAAGGACAGCTATGTTTCAATATTTTCATTCAGCAATTACAGTAGCCGCTGATGATTGAAATGTTCTGCTGGTTAATGCATTTCTCACACAGTCCAGTCCCTTTGAAGAAAATCCATTAACAGGACGATAGTCAGAAATATAGGTTATGTCATATCAAGCCATGAAATGCATGTTGTGTAGTCAGGCCAAATGGCTCTTTTTATTTCTAGCATAGAGGTTTCTTCCATAAACAGCTATGAAGTCAAACTAAAGATATACCCGGGCACGTTTGGAAATATTTTTTTTCTGAAATGTTTTAGTTGTTTTAGCAGCTTTACCATTAGCAACACCATGGTTTTGAGAGAAATGACTCCACAAATATTGGATGGATTACCATGACACTTGGTACCCTGATGTTCCCTTAGGCCGGGTCATTTCTTACAATTTTGGTGACTTAATTTTGCCATCATCAGGTCAATATTTATTTTGGTATATGCAATACAAAGGGCAGTCCCATTAGCCTTATCTGTATTTTAAGTTTAGTGCTAGTCAGCATGCTAACACACAAAGCGGGTAACATTATACTATATACTATTATATATTATGCTTTAAACTATTGAATGTCAGCATGCTTACAAAAGTATTTAGCTCAATTCATTGGTGTGGGTTGTTTACTTTCTGTATGTATTTACAGTATAACCCATATATATATATATATATATATATATATATATATACACACTCCACATGTTTTCCTTCACAGGTGCACGACATGCCTACAAATTGTGACTCAATTGAAATATCTCTGCATCTAGTTGTAAAATATTTGCCATATAATTTCCTTTCCATCTCCATGTCTCATTGTCCCTCACGGTAATGCTGGCTTACCCAAGCTGCGGTGGAGCATCAATATGACAGTTGAGTCAGAGTAGGATTTACATAATCTCAAGGATAAAATGACATATTCCATGAGTATTAAATACCATATTGTGTGGTTTGGATTGAAACTGTAAAGTGAAACTCTGTAAATCTCTTAGCTGTTTACATAGATTGGAAATATATCCGTGTCATATGCAGTGAGATAGAAAAGAAATCGGATTGGAATACGTCTAAAAATAAACACACTGTAGACGAAATTCTATTTTTAAAAATGTAGCTTAGGTTTAAGTCTTATTGGAGGCACCTGTAAACCAGTGATTTACAGCAGTGTCATTTGTTTCTATTTGTTTGTCATGTCCCTCCACTCTTGGATGAACATGCACTCCACGCCCTCTGTGGCACTCTGCCTGAGGGAGCCGACCTTACTCTATATTCAACCTCGCAGAGTGACTCCCTGTGAATCTGTCCAGAGAGGCTGTTTCTTGAAATTCTTGTTCAACACCTCCTTGACGCACTGCACCCACTCAGAATTCAAAGCAGGGGGCTTTAAAAAACTCTGCTGATCCACCGAGACTGAACTGTTTGCTCCCACAGTGTACACACACAACTATCCACAAAAATGTTAGTGTTGTTTTTAGATGTGTGGAACATTTTATACATTATCAAAGGGTTATTCTCAGCATGTCGATATTGTTGTTTATTTGATACCCGGGGAGTGTTTTCAATAAGTGGTTAACATTTAAAAGTTGCATTCTTTAATCATACTTCTTAAAAACAGCAATTTTTTGTAGGACATTGACTTAAAATTGTGATTAAATTAAAAGGTGATAGACCACACAATTAGTTGAATAATTAAGAGAGTAATCTGCAGATGAATCACTGAATTAGTTGTTGCCCTTGAGAAGCATATTTTTGAGAAAAAACAATAATTACGATTTATTATTATAAACTTTAGATGGACATTGTAATGTTTGTGTATTTTGTCTTATTCACATTGAGTAAATGTCACATAGCTGTTGTAGTGGATTGTAGAATAATGCATAACATGTCAGTTGTGTCCTTAATCATGTCATATATAGGGTTACAAACTGTTGACACCATATTTGATTACTATAATTGTCTTCTAGTTAGTGATGATACAACGTGAATTATTTTCCTGTGGCCTGAGCTCTCTTACTGTATGAACAGGTGTCTGTGTTCAAGGTGAGGTAAGGGTAAAGAAGTCATTTTTCCACACAAATCCCTGCAGTAATCCTAACTTCTATTATCCGCTCCACTCATGCACTCCGTTTCTCATACTAGGGTAGTTTGTATTGCTCCCTGCTGTTCTATAAATTATATACCACTTTTTGATCTCACTGGAAACTAATTACACACACGGATTCTGTGTGCGACTGTGCTTTCCTTAACAGAGCTATGATTCACCTTATTTAAAAAAAAATTAATGTATACATTAATACCGCCTTTTGCTTTCTTCAGGCTGTCAGGCTGTCATAATATGATTAAAGATGAGCGAAGGAGCGAAGTAGATCCCACTGCGTGACTCATAGGCTGCACAAAAACAGCTCATGAGTAGGGAAAGAGAAGGGGAAAGTCTGCCAAAAACCTCTCAGCAGCTGCACCGCTAAACAAGTACCTGTCTTCCCTTTACAATACCAATTTACTCCCATTGGCTCTAATCAAAGTGGACTGCTGATTAAACGAAAACAGATTGTGGCCCCATATTGTATTTTTCTTTGTACACACCAAACTGACACCAAAGAACACCAAATAACCCGTCCCGACAGAACGTCGCCACACCTCACGTCGCCTCACCTCACGTCGCCTCACGTCTCTTGCGTCTTGGCCATGTTTCACACTGGAACACGCCGCAGAGACTTCAGCCAAGTTGCACGTACGAACTGCGCATGCGTGAGTGGCAATAACTCTCCTTACCAGCAGGCGGCGGTAGTGTATATTTGTCACTCAAAAGCATACTTGCCAACCTTGAGACCTCAGAAATCGGGAGCATTTCAAAACCACCGCGGGGGGGGGAGGGTGCTAGTGGATCATCGCCGGAGCTGTATTAGATTAACATTAACATGCTTATTGTAGTTGTAAGTGCACTGCCTTGCGGCCCGTAGCACCATCCTTGATGGAGCATATGTGTGGGCTGGACCTGTATTTTACAGGAAAGGAGTGAGCAGAGGGTCGTGTGTTGATTCTTGTTCAGTTTTCTGTGACAATCTTCCTCACCCTCTCAGACTTTGAGTTGCGCGCACTGCTAAAGAGACGCGCTACCATGGAAACCAAACAATGGTGTAGCTGTATTACAGTTCGAGTGGAAACAGTCCTGAGTAAATCTGATGTTGTCAGAAATCGGGAGAAATGCGGGAGAAATATGACCCCCCCCGGGAGGAAACCGTGAGAGGGCAATGAAATCGGGAGTCTCCCGCGAAAATCGGGAGGGTTGGCAAGTATGCTCAAAAGAAGCAACAACCGGAAGACAGACTGCGTGATACACCGAGAGAAGAAGAACAGACTGCGTGATATAAACAAACAACAAATAGCGTGTGCATTTTCACTCTACAACGAGAAGCTCGTGGGGCTTTCCCGAACCTGTGTCGAGAGCTGGAGTTAAATGAAATCTCAGATTTGCCTTCTTCATAGTTTGTTTGGGTCCCTCACTTCCGTTTCACTTCTCATGCACTGATTCGCTAGCTGAACAGACCAAGCAGAGTGATTTTTCAGGCCGACGGCCTTGCCTTTAAGACCCAGACACACCGGGCCAATTTCGGCCGTCGATAGATGACTGTCCGTCGATGAACGTTGTGTCGCCCTACTCAGATTGGTGTGTCCCGCACCGTTGTGTCTTTTCGGCCGTGACGACACCTTTTTGGCCGAAAACCTACCGATTCGACATGCAATCGGCCAAAGGCTGTCGGTCAAATAAATCACTCTGATTGGCTGTTCAGCTAGCGAATCAGTGCATGAGAAGCGAAACGGAAGTGAGGGACCCAAACAAACGATTAAGAAGGCACACACAGACGGCTATTCTTTTTCATTTTCATCTGAGCTGGACGCAAGAGTTTATTTTTCATCATAGCGATCTGGAATGAAGAAACCGAAGACCAACGCACACGGTATTTGTTGTTTGTTTATATCACGCAGTCTGTTCTTCTTCTCTCGGTTATCACGCAGTCTGTCTTCCGGTTGCTGCCTCTTTTGAATGAGGAATACACACTACCGCCGCCTGCTGGTAAGGAGAGTTATTGCCACTCACGCATGCGCAGTTCGTACGTGCTACTTGGCCGTCGGCTGAAGTCTTTGCGGGGTAGCGGGGCTGGTTCGGTATTGCACGTCGCGGGTGTGGGCGGGAGCGGGTCTTGAAAATCAGACCCGTGCAGCATTCTCATCTGTTTGTCATTCCTGGTGTCATTTTCTGGTTGCTAACAAACGCCATTGTAACACATAATCACTGATGTTCCGCTGTAACGGTGGTGGACTCATCAGAACAGAGTGGGCGAGCTGACCAATCAGAGCACAGTGGGCTCATAGGGGGGGGGGGGACAGGAGCTCCAACGAGCCATTTAGGACAGAGAGTGAATACACATACTATACAGAGATGCTGTATGATGTGATTGTGGAACATTGAACAATGTACATCTATTCTAGTAGACCTTAACAATGGAATTATGATCAGTAGAAATGGCCATGACATGGGACCTTTAAACCTGGTGCTGCTGACATCTCTCTTTCAGTACACTGTAGGTCAGAGCCCGAAGAGGCCACAGCTTCATCATCAGTAGCAACACTGTAAGGTAATCCTGAGGTCAACATGACACTATTATTCGGCTGCACCTCTGCTTCAGTAGCTTTTGTATTCTCTCTTTAATTAAACGGGATTCAATACAAGATCTGTTGGGAGGCTTCTCAAACCAGCGTGCACCGCTTCAGCAGAGCTCTTTATCCATTTAGAAACAGTTACTTCCAGAGTACATAGGGTCCTAGATTACAAATTAAATGCATTTCCTGCCTCTAGCACTCCAGGAAGTTAAAGAAATCAATACTTAAACTTGCAGGTGAAGTAACTTGTGGCTAGTCTAATGTGTTCCCCTCTGGTCTTTTTGAGGACTGTAGAGTTCTGGATCAATTGTGGGTGATTAATGTGTGTTTTAGGGAGGGGGGGGGCAGATATGAGCAGATGGCAATAAAAAAGCCTGCTGGTGATAAAGCATGCAGTCTCTCTGCACTGTTGTGAGGGACAAAGAGAGGCACAATATACTTTTATCAAAGGAACAACAAAATGAAATGCATGTCATTTTGAGAAAGTGGCCACAGGCTATTGCAGTTTATTTAAATAAATAGTCATCTACAGCCACAAAGAACTCACTACCCAAGATGTGATGAGATATAAACCAGGTGAGGACAGCTCGAGACAGACGACTACATATTGCCTCGGGTCAAAGTCATTTGAGCTCAAAGGATGACATGAAGCACAGATAGGGTTTATTTAGATGTCACTGTATTCCCTGTGCGGGGATAGGCCTGAAAACGATCCCATTCTTTAGCACAGCTACAGAAAGCATGAGGATGAGAAGAAGTTGTCATGCACAGATCAAAGTAAATATAAACAAACCATTCAAGAATACATGGATGAATTAAAACATAGATTGATCTTTAGCTCCACAGAGAGCACTTACCTTGGCATGGACCGCGTATGAGGCCAGCAGCACAGAGGCTTCAGGAGGACAGTGAATCTCCTCCTCCAGGATGTTCTTCTTCACCTGAGGAGGGACCAAATGCAATTACTTGTAATGCAAAACTCATTTTTTGTTTATTTTTTGGTTAAAAAGCCCTTTTAGGTCTTGCCTGAACTCGCCTTAGAACCAGCTCTGTTTGCTTTAATATGATTATTATTTATATGAATTTTGATTTATTTGCAATCTTTTTTTGGGCTGTATTTTTTCCTTATTCATTTTCTTTTCTTCATGTAGCTTAGAAAACTCGAGTGTTTAATGCATACGATAAGGCATTTTTCTTTGTTTTTTTATTTATCCTATGCAAAACAAAACAGATGTGTATTTAGAACAAAGGTCACATATAGACAATTAAAGTCATTAAAAAAAAATCTATTCCCAAATAAATCTAAATCTGTGCCATTGGGTAGTTTGTTTCCCTCTGTTTTTCAGTCAGGATTACCTACTGGCCCCATTATAGTAGAAGGGTGAAGCATGGGACAAGAAATAACTAAATACATTTAAGATCGGATCCTAAACCTGCTGCCAATACGCATTTTGCAGGATAGGACATTTGCTCTGCATAGATATTACCTAGTGGGAAATGAATGTGAACTCCCCTAAAGTCAGAGCAACCAGCTCAAATCAAATATCATATGAGGTGAAGGAGCTGATTGAAAGGTGATCGTACTAGACTGAAGCACGATGAGAATACCTAGAGAGAAGAGAGTAACCCTAACCCTTCCACAGCCAGAATTGTATTTCATTATTTCCACGCTGACAAATACAGAGACAATATAGAGCTTAAACTGTTTTCAGGTACCAATTTTCATAAGCCAAAAAAGACCAATTTAGGATATGCTGCAAACCTTAAGTAAACAAGCTACAGCTATACTGCAACAGCTCACTGGTGCTTTCTCATTTTAGAGAGCTCTTGGACCTGGAAACAGGATAAACTTTGCTAAATAAATATTCTAAAACTTGAGTATCATAGCCACATTGGGACTTATTAGACACCAACTATGTACCTAAGCCAACATTAATGTATATGGTCATTAAGCTGCTCCAGGAGTATCTGCTTGCGTATATAGTATAATGACATGAAAGTAATGCGCCTCGAAAAGCTTTCACTCATAATTAGAGAGTGCCGCCTATTTTCCTAATTCATCATTTTTCTGTGCTGCAATCAGATCTAGCAGCTTCTATGTGTGTGAATACACACAATCATTAGGAGTGACAAATGCAAGGTTCCCAGTCATATCATGAATTCTTCAAATGGGTGGAAATCCCCTTTAACAAGCTCCCTGCAGATTAAGAGTGCAGGTGTCACTACAGGAGCTCTGACAAACTAATGGAATCACAAACTTCCAAACTGCATGCGGAGCACAAAGCCGGAACGCAAGGTGAGACGCTGCAAACCTGCTGCAGCCGTGGTGGGCAATGTAGTGCTTCAAACCTTATCCTTTACCAAGCCAGTCTGTCTTCTTTGTTTTGAACTAACTGAGGTGTGGAGCCAGAGGTGACGGCCCCCTAGTTGTGGGAAGCGCTTAGACACAGAGGCCGCAATCTGGTTTACAAATGTTGTTGCTAAAGAGGTGACAAAGATGTGTCTGTTTGTGTGAGTGGTCTTAAGTGTGTGAGGGGTGTGTGACGTGTGTGTTTGTATCCGGGTCGCTGATCATTTCCGATAAGCGCTAATCCAGCTGTCATGCCTGTGACACTATCTGAACAAAGGCCTGCGCCCGACATTGTGGGAATTAATGAGAGCAGAGTAATATGGAGACAGGCGGCGCGAGGCGGCTAAGCATTTGTGTTCCTCTTCCCGTGTAGCTGCTTTAACTGTTGAGTCATTTGTCTGCTGCTTCTTTCCTTTTAAAGCGATGTCTCCCCGTAAAACCAATAAATAGCTTCAACTACCTTTAAATGGATACTTTTTATAGAGCTTAAGTAGACAAGCACACTGCTGTCTCAAAGCATATAACTAAACCAGCACAATGGTCTATAAGTGCTATTGGGGATGAGCATCCCATAGAGAATATGTCATTAACTGGGCCAATAACTGAGCCTTTCAATCCTAATTGGTAATTGATAAATGTGGCATTGGAACACAGTTACAAATCTCATCATCTCTTGTGGGCAGGAATGGCTCCGCAGGAATCCCCCGGAGAGTATTAAGAGGAGAGAAAGGGCTGCGGTAATATGTTGCGCATTGATTCCACATGGCTGCACACTATCAGACTGGAGACAATGGGGAAAGAGTATAACAGAGGGCTCTGCTCAACAACTTGTTAGAAACTCAGTGGACGCATGCCCCCTGTTGGCACCGCATCAGAATAGTGAGGAAGCCGCACATACGGCACATCAGCCTGTTCTCAAAGGTGAAGAGCTTTTAGGTGTTAAATATCTCACACAGCCATCTTTTCTCAAGCCTATATTTCATCTCATCTTGTTCCTCAGAAAGATAACACCAACACCCACAGGTTTTGCTTTTAGAGTCTTGAACATAGCACTCCTCTAGGAAGATTACGATCAAGGAAAGAGAGGTTTAAAAAAAAAAAAAAAGGTGTCTGCCCACTAGGCAGCCACTAGGCAGTTATCCACAGCTTCTCCTAAAAGGCATGTTGGGCTTCAGGTTTACCTGTCAAGCCTGCAGCTATTTCAATTTAAAAAGCAGCAGAGGCAGAAGAACATGTGTCAGTCAGAGTACTAAGAACATTCTCATGAATAAGTGGTTACCAGTTATAAATACCTAGATATCTGGCTTGATGATTGTCTCACTTTTACACTTCAGGTCAGTAACCTGCTTAAAAAACTAAGGGTTAGGCTAGGGTTCTTTTTCAGAACAAGTCCTGTTTCTCTTTTGAAGCCAGGAAAAGGCTCTGTGACCTTTTTACCTGTGCTGGACTATGGTGATCTGGTCTATATGAATGCACTTGCCTATTGCCTGAACAAGTTAGATGCCGCCTATCACAGCGCACTGAGATTTGTCACAAATTGTAAAGCACTTACTCATCACTGTACCCTGTATGCCAAGGCAGGTTTGCCATCACTTACTGTAAAGAGGCTCAGTCATTGGTACACGTTTATTTATAAAGCTTTGTTGGGTAAACTCCTGTATTATATCTGCTCTCTGATAACACAGAGAGTTGCAAGCAGCTATTGTCTGAGATCGCATGATGTAGTATTGTTAGATGTGCCAAGAGCAAGGACTGTCTTAGGTAAGACAGCTTTTATGTGCGCAGCTCCATTTGCTTGGAACAATCTTCAGCAAGAATTGAAACTGAGCAATCTCATTCCTCTGCATGTTTTTAAAGCTAGGCTAAATGAAATGCTCGTTGATACTATGGGCATTTGTAAATGTTGATAAGTATGTAAATGTAGCTTGTAATATAATGTATGATATCCTCTATTGTTTTATGTTGTTTTATGTTTCATGTGGAACCTATTTGCTGCAGGTTTTCCTTGAAAAAGAGATCTATGATCTCAATGGGACCAACCTGGATAAATAAAGGTTTGAAATGAAATGAAAAAACGAGGCCTTTATGGCATGAAAGACACAAATGAAATAGATACGACGGTAACAAGATAAGTATTTAAAGAGAAGATCCAGAGACAAAAGAGCAACACGAGGTTAGAAATCACCAAACATTCAGCATTTTTATTCATAAATTGGATTAAACTTGAAATGAGGAAAACAAAACTACACCTATATGCGCAGTGACAAAACAGCAATGCACATTATGTATAGTTACCTGTAGGAAGAAGAGATGCTGTGTGATATCCTGCACGAGCTCCTCCTCAGCATTTTCAGGGTAAAACTTGGCCAGGAAGTGAAGAGTGATTGGTTCTTCCTTCGGTACCTCCTGATCCAGAACCTACGACAATGACCCAAAGAAAAAAACGTTCGCAAGACGGGTCAATGTTTCTCAGTGTGTTGCCCGCTACGTCTTTATCTACAATGTTAATAATGGCTCTTAAATGACCAGTACATCGTTCAAATCCCTTACCCTCTTTTCCATCTTCAGCCAAGCAACGGTGTCCTTGATGTTGTACCGGAGTCCAAAAAACCACGTCTCCCTCAGCCCCAGAGTTCGACACACAAAGTCAAAAAGGTCTTTCCCTTTCCACTTGACCTGAAACACAAAAACGATTTCGTCTCAGCAAAACAAAACACTTGAAAAACTCAGCCTGTAGAGCAGGGGTGTCAAACTCAATTTCATCGCGGGCCACATTCGCATAAAGGTTGCACTCAAAGGGCCGGTTGTAACTATATAAATATATAATATATATAAAATAATGTATTATATTACATTATTGCCTCTGAATTGGATTATTATCAGATAGGATAATAACTTAGTAATTAACTACGTCTGAAAGCAGAAGTCTGGGGCAAATAATTGGAAGTCTCTTCAGTGCGCATGTCACAAAACGAGATGCATTGTGGGACATGTCGTTTATGGGCATATTATATTATAAACGTATTATATTATTTGCAAGCTCTTGTGGGCCACATAAAATGAAGTCGCGGGCCAGATTTGGCCCCCGGGCCTTGAGTTTGAGACCCCTGCTGTAGAGTTTATTATCGACAGTCACATTGGCTGCAAGCTTTTGTCAAGTGCATTCAAGGTCAGCATGACACACACTTGTTGTGTGTGTGTGTGTGTGTGTGTGTGTGTGTGTGTGTGTGGTGTGTGTGTGTGTGTGTGTGTGTGTGTACACCCTCGCATTCACACTCCATTCTGTTTAAACCATCAGGATTCACAACAACACCTAGAATCCATTGCACACATAACAAATGGATGTAATGCATACAAACGCCTGTACATAGCCCGTCATGACCGTATTGTGGACATTGTGTCTGATGCGGTACGAAACATCTTACCATCTAGCGCAGCAATGTACAAGCACGCTAGAGTGCTACCAGAATGGTTTGGTTTTACCAATGATGTCTTTGCTAACATCCCAAATACACCTGATGTTGTTTTTGTTGACACCAACCACAGGGAGGTGCTAATATTAGAAGTGGGCTGTGCCTTTGCCCTGTACATGGACCAGGCTTTCCAGGACAAGTATATCAAATACCAACCACTGCTCGATGTGATAACCAGCTTTGGGTACAAGTGTAGATACAGCATACTTATATTCGGAAGTCTTGGCCATGTATATAAATGCACCATGATTGGTCTGAGAATTGCTGGAATGTCAAAGAGAAAAGCCAAACAAATGGCCAAATATTGCTCTGTTTCAGCTATTATTGGCAGCTTAGCCGTGTGGAGAGGGAGGTGCTATGTGTTCCCCTAAGTGTTCTGTGCTGCTTAGCCCTGATATATTTGATTCCCTGTCTTATGTAATATAATTTGTGGAACCAAATAAAGTATTAAAATGTGTGTGTGTGTGTGTGTGTGTGTGTGTGTGTGTGTGTGTGTGTGTGTGTGTGTGTGTGTGTGTGTGTGTGTGTGTGTGTGTGTGTGTGTGTGTGTGTGTGTGTGTGTGTGTGAAATGAGGACAACAGCTTCACAATACAGCAGGAGGAGCAACTGGGAGAATCAAAGAATCCTATGCAAGGGCTGTATGAACACTTAGTCTATACGACCTATACCCGCTAAATACTATTTACAAAACCCATAATTGATACAATTATCATCCCAGCACAGAAAATAGAAACCTGCGACTAACAGTATGCTGCTCTGTGTAATTACCAACTGCAAACCATGAAGGGTTCCTCCCCTTTAAATACAGAGGAGGTGTCTGCGAGTCATTTCCATGCATTTCAACTCTGCTTTATCATCAAACAAATCATATGCTTAACCATGAAATACTACAGGAAGGCCCAAAATACATTACAAACCAGCATACATCAGAGTGTTTTAACCTCACACTGAAGGATGATTCCGCAGCACTGCGACAAGTCCAATACTGCATTGACTAAAATGTTCATGATTCCATTGCTGCATAAAACAGAGATACATATAACAGATATGCTCTCCTGTAGAATAAACCAACGATACAAATTGCGTTTGATCATAGTTACTTGCTGCCATCTAGTGTCGAAAGTGAAACTCGATATTATATGTGACCATCATCACTGTTGTCCCCTGGTAAAAGCGTGACAACACATCAATTCAAGGTGTCGTTACAGTGTATGGTAATGCTTAGAATACAGTTATAGTTGCAATACACTGCATGACAATTGTTATCCCAGTCAGTAGGAGGACTGAGATGCATTTCGTGTTATGTTCAGGTCAAGTTTGCAGTAAAGTTGAATTTAATATTGCTCATTTATTTTCCGAAACACGCTCATACACACCTCGCAGCTGAACTCCATGTCTGACTCCATTGTGCAGATCCTGACGTTGAAGTTCTTGGCTTGTTTTCTTAACAATGAGTTGAATCCCATTTTTGCTGCTAAGGCACTTGCCATGGTGAAAAGCTTACAAACTTACTATTTACTTATACAAAGTCCTACAAAAGAAGTGCACTTTCAAGGCATTATTTCTGTTACACTATATGGCGTAGACAGTCGAGGATGTGACTGTCCAGCTTTACTCTAGCACCTTCAACTATCAATAAATATATGTTTAAAACAAGTTTCATTCAGGTTTAAATGAGGCTATCGCTGACATTATCTTGACTTATGAATGTATAAGACAGATTCCATGTTTAAATGGTAGTATTTTGTAATATCGCGTTACCTACAAAACAAGTTAGTTTACTTTTAGCATAAGCAGATGAGACAAGTGTACTGTCCTATCCTTGCTGCTAACGTTAGCTAACAGGTTAAAAATAAAATAACTAACTAACTAACTAACTAACGTGTACATTACAAACCCATTTCTTGCGCTAAAGGTATCCGTCTTTATAACTTTAAATCCGTTGACGTATTCTTCTAAGCGTCCGGAGAAAACAAATTAAGCCAATATATCTCTCCTGGACAGTTCAAAACACTTCTGCATGTTTACTCGAAGCGATAGCTACCTACTGCTAACCATTACCAAGCTCATCCTCAAAGCAATGCTGCATTCAAGTACCATCAAGATCGTTGTAATAACATCGTACTGCACAGTTGATCAAATTATTTTACTGACAAAAGAAAACAATGCTTTTTTTATGGTCAAACATATCATTATTTATATTATTATGTTATAATGCTGCTTTAACTAAATAATTTCCCAATATGGGATCAATACAGTTTCTATCTATCTGAATATATGCAGTAATAATACATTGTTTTCTCTTTTGCAATTTCTCAAACCAGAGCCAAAAGTATCCTGATGTAAACAATATACAAAAAGTAGGGTCGAAAATAATCAAGCTCTAGATTCTAAATGTATTTTTGAGCTAAAATGAGTAGTCACTTATTCAGATTTGAGTTTCAAAGTGTTGGCCAGGAAAAAAACAAGATAACTGATGATAGGCCCTTGCCGTTTTTCATTGTTTTCAGACAAATAAGATCCCATATTATGAATTAAACAATAACATATATATTGTTATTAAAGAATGAATCAGGTGCAAACCTACTTACATATTGTTCGTAGATATTAATTTCCCCTTCTGGCAGGTGCTACAGGAAGCTGAAGAATAATAACAATCAGTTTTGCTAACAGGTCATCACACAAGTTTTGTATTATTTGTAAATAAATTATGATTTATCTGTAACACACATGTATTTGACACAGACAATGGACATGTTATGAGTGTTGACAAGTACCTTAAAATGTAGTTTCTTTTGACTGCTGCTGAGGAATAGACTTTTGTATATTTTCTGATTATTTTATCATTTGTGATTCTTTTTCTAAAATAACATAAATATCGAGCGTCCAAGGAACCCTGAAGGTGGCATGGCTTCCCTTCTCCTGACCGAACAACCAATCACATTGCACTACACCCCCTTGCCCCGCCCCTAGCCATGCCCCCTGCGCCATAAATGGGCGGCGCCTGTTCAATGAGGTAATCTGGGTAAACAGTAAAGATGGCGACGTCTGCAGTCGCAGAGGGACAACAAAGTCTAAATGGGATTATATCCGACCCTCAATCAAAACATTTGACCGACCTGCCGACCGAGTTGCTAGAACACATCCTGTGCTTTCCAGTCCTCAAAAATGTCGACATTTGTAATGTCTCCTGCTGCTGCAAGCGGCTACACGACGTTTGCCATGAAAGGGGGAAGGTCTGGGGACACCAGTACAAACTCAGGTGCTGTTATTTCTCTGTGCTATATCGTCGCAGTTACTGCTTTTGGTGGCTATTTACCACTGTCTACCAAAACGAAGCTGCCTTTTCTTTATTATCTGTCTTATTTAGAGCCCTAAATTGCTCATTGTACTTAAAAATTGTTTCCTTTACTGCGAACTCACAAGCAGCTATCATCCATTGACATCCTGCTGATGCACCAAATGCATCACCCCGCCAGGCCAGCAGCCAGCTCTCTGTGAAGCTTGTATATCTACGCGTTTAAACATTTCACACGTTGCAGTTTATAGTCCTTCTTACCCAAAACTGCCAATAATTAATTTGTGTGACCTTGAATGTAACATGTTGCCTGTGGAATGCAGGAGAGTGCAGCGCTTGCCAAAAGCTCAGCCCTCCTCCTGACCGATTTGGCTATCACTCTCCTGATTACTTTCCTTTGTACAAATGGCAAACCACGCATGCATCAGGATGATCAATGATCTCATATAGTGCCTCAGGCATTATGCTGCATTATGATCATGCTCTAAAAGATTCACCGGAATAACAATTGTACTGCCTTCATCAACAGATGGCCACGATTGCAGAGGTTTTATCGTCAAAATGAGTGCTGTGACTGGCTCAGAGAATACAAAACACGCCATAGAGTTGGCATACAAATACGAAGGACGGTGGAATCGATCTCTAAGAGATTCTTCACAGAAGTCGTAAGTAATCCATGTGTAATATTGAACATATACTGATTCTCAACTGATTAATACTAGGTTACATCAGCCCTTGTTTGATACATACATATACAGTATATGACAGAAAAGAGAAAGCTATCAGTCCAATCAGTTGAATCAGTACATTTTCCATGAATAGATGCTTAAATGCATTTGTCTCTGTGTGAGATTTCTACGCCCAAACTAACCCAGAGATCTGTAACCCAGCCTTGCGTTGGCCAGGTGCTCGGAGACAGCTTTGCAGAGATCGAGTCCCTTGGGATGCCAGAGCACTTTTGTGAAGACGAGCTCCTCTTCCTACTCAACTCAGACAAGAGGTAAGAGCAGCAGTGCACATACACTACAACCTTAAACCTGCCACACACTGCAGTGTTGATCTTTGTAATCCTCATTACGTAAACGTTGCACATTCCCACCAATGGACCAATAATGTGTCTCTCTTTCATTCTGCGCCCTTCCTTAGTAAAAGCTTGACTCTGAAGTACTATGCAAAGAAAATCCTTTACTTCCTGAGACAGCAGAACATCCTGAGGAGTTTGAAGACTTTCCTGGAGCAGCCTGCAGAGCAGCAGTCAGCTTTAGAGGGTGAGGCATGAATACATGTCAAACAACACAAATTGCACTGTTCAGCGTATACATACAGTGCATTTTCACATTTGATTGGTCTTGCTTTTGTTTTTAATTTACACAATTAAATCCAATTGTTCACCCCCTCACTTGCTCTTGCCGGCCTCTAGGTGCCATACTGGTGGATCAGTATTGTAACCCTCTGGCTGAGGTCACACTGAACAGCGTATCAGCGCAACTGGATGAGATTGCAGAAAAAGTGAAGAAGATGCTGAAAATCAAGAACTCCTCTCACCCCAGCCTGCGCATCGCTCAAGGTGGGCTTTTCAAAAAACAAAAAATCATATCCTTTCTCTCAATTTAGAATACCATTGTATTTGGGCCATATCTGTCAGCTGCACAATATTTTCCCTTTCAGCCATATTTATTATGTGCATGTCTGATTTCTTGTTTATTGTATAGGAGACTGTTTTGTCGTGGAGGACTTTGAGCTCCAGAGGCAGGTGGTGTGTGCTCTAAACTCTGTCCTGTACGAGCAGCTTCAATACAAAGGCAACGAGTCTGACTACTACAACCCTCTCAACTCTTACATCCACCAGGTAGAAAATCATTTCCACTTTCAGCTTTTCAACCATTTTTTAACCATTAAAATCTCAGGACTCGCTAAGCCATGTTGTTGTTCATTCAGGTGCTACTACGCCGTACAGGTATTCCCATAAGCCTCTCGGTCCTCTACATGACGTTAGCCCATAAACTGGGGGTTCAGGTGGAACCTGTCAACTTCCCCAATCATTTTCTGCTGCGCTGGTGCCAAAAACAAAGAGGGTAAGGTTTGAAAGTAAAATATCCTAACATTTTGTTTTAACATCATCTTCAGTGTAGAACTTCCATTTACATGATTTGTTGAACCAACCAATCAGGAACTGAAACGACATTGAGATAATCTTTGGTCGTACGTCAAAGGATTTTTTCTCCTTTTTGCTTCATTAAGTCCATTTCTGTTTTTAACTTCCTTTTTTCATAAAATCCTAGTTTTGCTTATTGTCGTCAACATGAACAAATAATATTCAAAATCCATCTTGTTTAATAGTATATTTTAGGCAGCCTACATTGAAATATAACAAGTTCTCAGCTATTTCGGTTGTCTTTTTGGTATAAACTAGAATAGACATTAATTACATTTTACTTTTTTTTGCTGTGCAAGTTAAATGTTTTCTGTTCACTGGAATGGATGTACATCAGCTAATTCTGGTGCTTTGTGTTAGAAATACAAGCATGCTTTGATGCTTTAGTAGTTATGTAGACACTTTGTGATAGATTCCTGTCAAATATATTTTTCACATCATAATTTACCAAACATTGCACCTGCAGGAGCGAGGACATCTACGACTATGTCTACATCGATGCCTTTGGTAAAGGCAAACAGCTGACAGCCAAGGAGTGTGAGTACTTGATTGGCCACCAGGTGACGGCAGATTACTACAGTGCCATCAGCACCACGGAGGTTCTGCTGAGGATGGTGGGGAACCTGCTCAACATCGGCAAGAGAGGGTAAGAGAGACTCAAAATCTGACTGTCACTGCTGAGGCTTCTTTTGATGGATGGTCAAGGCATAAGATGTTATTAAATGACGTCTAAAATGAAATCAATTCCTTCAACGTATCACAGAATTAAATGACTCGATCAATGTAATGATTTGTTACTTCACCCTAACTGTGTGGTTTTCTTTTAGGGAGGGCAATGAGAAATCCTACCAGCTGTTGAGAGACTCTCTTGACCTTTACCTCACTATCAACCCAGACAATGTGCAGTACCTGCTGCTGCAGGCACGCCTCTACTTCCACCTGGGCATCTGGCCAGAAAAGGTCAGGACACACAACCGGATGCTTTTTTTTTAATAATGCTTTATATGATAAAGTATTACCTTCCAAAGCACTAACTCTCCAGCCCTGTGGAGTGCTGCAGGAATTAAACCTGGCACCCAAAATGTACTTAGCGCTTGGTTCCCTCATCTTGAAGTCAATGGTCAATTTCTGTTTAAAGGTCTGAAATAAGTTATGGTTAAGAGATTTAACATCTGTTCTACGGCCTGAGAAGAGGGAATTACAGCACAATGTGGTTTTACTAGCGGTTCACATTTTTAGTAAAACATTTTTGAGTCCTTTGACCTTTATTAGGTCAACATATGATGTTTTTTGACCTAATAAAGGTCAGTAAATATCCCAGCCGTGTGTGCTGAAGTTTCTAAATGAGACTACTTAATGGCATCAGGCCAAACACTAGAAAGCCTTCAGCTTAGTGGCGGGTTGTTGTACGTTCACAGGCTAATGTTAGCTTTTTCCTTCTTGCATTATCCATTGGTGAAATCCCATTGGCATTTTGGCGAAGCTAGCTTTCAAGTAGGCTTAACAAAATGGATTCCTGCAGCACTCTTTATATTTTAGAGCTGGGAAATATTCCAAAAGTTGTATATCATGACATATTTGACCAAATACCTCAAAATCGTTATAGGTACAATATTGTAGGTGTAACCATTAGTAGTTTTTTAAAATAATCATCAGTAATATGGATATAGTGACTAAGCAGAAAAAGATAAACATTCTGATACATTCAGAATATTACATTACTTTCATGTTTGATGTAGGCTTTAAAACTAGAAATGACATTACTCATAATGTAACGATAGTGAAAATCCTCTGTCCCAGGTGCTCGACATCCTGCAGCACATCCAGGCGTTGGACCCCTCCCAGCACGGGGCAGTGGGCTACCTGGTGCAGCACACGCTGGAGCACATCCAGCACAAGAAACATCCTGCTACACCCGAGGTGAAGAAGCGCAGCGCTGCAGAACACGTGGAGGTCCAGTATTCAGTCGGCCTCATCATGAAACACAAGAGGTCGGTGAGGCTAACGTGCAGTACAACAATCCTTCTCCTTTCAGTCTTCTCATCGTCTATCCGTCTCCATGTGTTCCCCCAGGTCGGGATATAACTGTGTGATCTACGGCTGGGACCCAAAGTGCACCATGAGTCAGGAGTGGATCACCACCATGAGGGTCCACCAGCTGTCCAGCGGGGCCAACCAGCCCTTCTACAACGTCCTCGTACAGGACGGGACTTGTCGCTACGCAGCGCAGGGTAAGGACAATGCAAATCAGTCAGTTCCACGTTATGTCTACTCTTGCAATAAGGTGATGCAAGAATCTTTTTTTAACACAAGCATATTTATATACACATAGTATTGTTGGTATTTTTGGGAGAATATGTCGGTAACACTGTCTAAGCTCTACTTATGAAATATAATCTGCTTGTAGATCTGTATAATTATAGTTATGAGCTGAAGTTATAATTATGAGTGCTTCTGGATATTCATTATGCTTTTAAACAGCAATCATAACACATTACATAGCATTTTAAAATGACTCAAAAGGTAAAGAACTTCATAGTTGCGGTTAGTAACGGACATTGATTGACTTACATTTCAGATTATTTATTTATTATAAGCAGCTCTAATGTATTATCTGCTTAGAACATCAGTATGTGTATGAATTAATCCTAAAGCACATTATGACCACTAAGCTTAATTTGTAAAAACACTTTAAAGCTTCATTCTGTTTAGAGCAATATGGATTTTAATGAGTGATTAACACTTCCAAACTTCTACAGAGCTGTAAGCAATCTATAATATAATATATGTTCTTATGAATAATTGAATTATTTTAGACATGGAAGTCAAGCGACCAATGCAGCAGCTTCATTTCATATTAAATAAGAAGTGTCTCTTTTAATGCCATTTAAAGAAATATTACATAATTGCAATGAATATGTTATCTACTAAAAACAGATACAAAATAGAATTCTAGTTGAAAAGCCAAGAGGAAGTCAGCAGCAAAACAATGGAACTCTTTAAGGTTTCATAGAAGCATATAAACAAACCAGTGAATGAGGAAATAAAGCTCTTATAATCTAACTGAAGGTGGGACAAATACATTCAGTATTTGATAAATGCCATGTAAACCTCATTCCTTTTTACGAGACCTCTGTAGCATCTGAAACTGACGTACATTTTAACCCCACTTAAATACAATAGGCTGATTTATATGTATTCCCTAATACTACTTCCTTGTACTTAACTGCTCACTCTGCTGATGCTGCCTGTATTACACAACTCCATTGTTTGTACCTGTTATCTTTGCCCTCTCAGACACCTTAACATGCACCTGCATACTGTCCCTGCACACCCTGAGGGAGCTTTGTATTGATCAGTCCCGTTGCTCTCATGTACTGCTGCAGGAAGACAAGATTCAAGGCTTTTATTGTTATTTCTACATAGCTACAGTGTAGATATATCAATGAAAATCTTAGGTCACAGGCTCCTCCAACAGTGCAACACAATAAAACCGATATAGTAGTGCAAGTAAATACAAATAAAATAGGATAGGAGAGGAGAAGACATAAAGCTTGTGATGCCAAAACACATTTTCATTTGACATTTCAAAGTTGTGTGTTTGCCCAGAGGCCTGTACGACGAATCCAGTTCAACATATCCTGGATATGTTTGCGTTACCCGGCTTACCTAATCCAAAACAAACACGCTCTCGCTAAGCTGTCCTACGACGTTGGTTATCAACTCGTTAACTTAAGCCAGTTTTGCCCTATCTAGTTAGGTGCGCGTTCACATGAAAGTGGTGGTATTTGGATCATTCGACCAATCACAAACATGGACAAGCGCACTGACAGCGCAGCGCATCATACTTCCTGAATGACAAGTCAACTAAATATTAGACAAATATGAAGACGTTAAACTTTAAACATCCATGACTTAAACACTTTATCCAGGATAAAAGCCACATAGCTGGTGTAAGGTGAATACAGCTGATAAAAGATAAAGTGTTTGAATGCGTACATTAACAGGTACAGTATGTGACACTGAGTGTTGCACGGCCAGATACGGCTCAAGAAGCTGACTCAGATAAGGAAATATATGATACATTATGATGTGATGTGAATGATAATGAGACACATCAACGTCTGCACCAGTAGCGTAGGCAGAAATGTACTTTAGGGTGGGCCTGTAAACAATAGGGTGGGCCAGATCTTTCTTCTGCGCATCAGAAGCTAACAACAATCCCCGCCGGTACCGGTGGCAGATTACTTTTAGAATACTTTTGGAATATTTTCTTTTTCCATAACAGATGGGTATGTTTTGGTGAACAGGAGACACGTATTTTTACTGTTTTAATGGCTTTTCAAGAACTCAAACACAACATCTTGGCGTCATTCTGGACAGCTCCCTCTCATCTGCACCCCACATCAAAAACATCACCCGGACTGCATTCTTTGTACTGTCTTAAAACCTTTCCTTAGAATATGTTATGAATTGTAAGGTGTCCTTGGGTGCTTTGAAAGGCGCCCCTAAATAGAATGAATTATCATTATTATTATTATTATTATCTGAAACGATGTAATAACTTTTAAAACTTTTTCCAGTCACTTGCCCCAAGCATTCAGCAGCAGCAGGCCATTCACTTTGATTTGATCCCGTTATGAAATGTCATCATTTCGAGAATAAAGAAATGCTACATAAACGTTATATTGCACATAAAAGAGATCTCTCTCTCTCATCTGCGTGCGGGGGCGGGGCCTCACAGACACGCTGCATCTCTCTCTCGCTCACAGACATGCTGCAGCGCTGTGCAGTGTGCACACAGTTCTGCTGGTAATGAATATTACATTTTGTGAGGAAACTTTTCCACCAATAATTCCAATAAGTATTCCAAAATGTATTCACTTCAGGTTTACGAAAGTAACTGTAATCAGATTACTAGTTTTTCAAATGTAACGTGAGCTGAATACACTTGATTTTTGTATTCTGATTACGTAACGCTGTTAAATGTATTCCGTTACAACCCAACCCTGTGTATATCTCTCCGGACTGTCCACCAGCAGATGAAAAACACCCACCTCTCCGCCTCTTCCAAGGGACGAGGGAACCGTGCGGCAGAGTTTCCGTTAACATTGTTTTTCTTCTGACAGCCCAGCAGCAGGAGAGGTGGGGAGAGGGAGACGGGGGGAGTAGGAGGCGGGGCTATTTCATCGTTATCAGAAAATGATCGTATAGATCGCTGCTAGATGAGGGCAGTGGGGGCTCTTCTTGGAGTCTGGCTTTTTTTTAAAAACCAAAGTTCATTAGTGAACTTTGAGCCATCATTTATTTTGCAGGCAGCTCTCTGCCTCTCTCACGTTATTATGGTGCGCGCCGGAACCAACAATCAATTACCTTAAATGAGTTCGGTTCAGAGGACAAAGCACATACAACATTAATTAAACTCGATATTTGTTCACTTGAATTTCACTTTGAATTCTTGGATATTCTCAATAGGTGAATACATTTTTTTTTTAGGGCTGTCAAACGATTAAATGTTGTTATCAGATTAATCACAGCTTAAAAATTAATTAATCATGATTAATCACCATTCGAACTATTTTCCAAAATATGCCATTTATTTATGTATATTGTTGTGGGAATGGAAAGAAGGCGGATATATCCATTTAACATACAGTATCTATGTTTATTATAACATTTTCTGCGTGTCAAAATGAAAGACAACCCACACACCTATCAATCATCAAACCGTGGGGTCTTAATTCATTACGTGTTGATTTCTATCAACGGGGGAGTACTTCAGGAAAGTCGACAGAGGGGGGGGCGGCGGCTCGTGGAGTACTTCTTGACCACAGAGTGTGAACGTTGTGATCAGCTGTTTTAGCGCAGTTCTCCAGTGAAGGGGGGGGGAGTCTCCCTCCGCAGCCGGTTGGCGTAGTTTTGGCACAATTCCGTTGTACAGACCGACGTTAACAGCAGCCCTGTCTGTGCACACGGAGACCGACTCTATCGTCCGGTGATCTAACCGCCTTCTGGAAAAGCTTCACAAGTACGTCGGTACGCAAATGCGCTTTGTGACACAAGTGACGGTACGCATTTCAGATTACGCACATAACCTGCGTACCAGTTATGTGCACCCCTGTACTACAGCAAAAGTATTCTCCGTCGGGACTTCCTGCAACAACACCACGCCGTTATCAAAGATGTTCTATTGAGAAGACGATCACTACGTGACAAAAGTTTTCAAAACCGTGGCTACTGAAATCAATCTTACTAACTGCTGTCTGTGCAATTTACTCCGCGAGTTGGCAGACTTTATTTTGCTTACTTTAACATCATTGTTCATGGTGGGGCTAAGCCATTTCTTGGTATGGGTGTAGCCTACCCCAGCCATACCCTGGCGCTGCCACTGGTGGCACGTATGGGGCGGGCCATTCTGCACATGCGTTAAATGCGTTAAATATTTTAACGCAATTAATTCAAAAAATTAATTACCGCCGTTAACGCGATCATTTTGACAGCACTAATTTTTTTATAATAATAATAAAATAATTTAAAAAAAATTCAAATGAAATGACACCGAAGCTTTCTCAGGGTGGGCCAATGAGTAAACTGGGTGGGCCTGGGCCCACCGTGGCCCTATGGTGGCTACGCCACTGGACTGCACTCACAGTGCAGCGGACTGTACGTAATGTTACTCTGATCCGGTTACTTATGTTGTGGCAGATATTTAAGTAAGCTTTCTTAACGCTAATGTTATAATAGTCAGATTGCTCTGAAGATGGGAGGTGATATTCTATTAATTTTCATGTTCACACAGTCAGTGATTTTTGCCGGCCGTCTTTCCTGCAACGGCAGCTTTTCTGTATTTCCTTTCTCCTGTAATATGACTTGATCGCTTTAAACTCTGCACACTGAGCTCTGATTGGTCAGCAGGCGGTGCTTTCACTGAGTTGATCTATTATCCTGGAACCTAACCTGCTCCGGACCAGGCTAGCCGCTCAGCATAAGTTACCATGGAAATCTAGCCCGCTAAAAAGAGAACCACTGTCGTAGGACCGGAAACCCAGTGTTTTCCCTGAAGTTAGCCGGCTAAGCGAAAATCCGGCTTCATAGTACAGGCCTCTGGTCTGGTATGTATATAAATAATGGTGGTGACTTTTTTTTTTCTTTAAATAAATGTCTTCTTTCATCTACTTAATCGAATTATGGTAACCCTTATGCACATTATCTCATATCAGAATGTGACACTTTTTAATTTCTGTTCCCCAGAGAACCTGGAGCCTCACTCGGCCCCCCTCGAGATCGGACACCCAGAGGTGGGACGATACTTCTCCGAGTTCGCCAACGACCACTACTTTGCCAACGAAGAACTGCAGACACGATACCCAGAGGACATGGTGGAAACTTTGGCCACAGTGCAGGATCTTTACCACAGACTGACGCCCGGCTCTGGGACCCAGGACCAGGCTCCTGCCACAGACCAAAACAACCAACAAGCCATGGCCATGTAGCAATGTAGCTGTGCCCTACACCCTGCTAAACAAACACTGGTCACCCATTCTCAACTCACAATCCACTTCGCTGCTCTTTTTTGCACATGTAAGAGACCAGGACGCGTGTAATGATGAGGTTTTTGTAAAAACCAGCCAGTATACAGTACAGTATTTTCAGAAACTGATTCGGTGCAACAAGAAATTATTTACAAATGTGTTTTTCAACCACAGGTCTGAAATTATTTATTTTAACTTTTTCATTTTTGGAAAAGTGTTGAAAAAGACCAAAAAGTATGGAAACAAGTAGCAAAAGTTGAACACTGTAATATTTGTTGTGAAAACAAAGATCAAGCTTTGAAGTGTGATGGCCTATTCAATGTTAATTTTCCAGGATGCAGGATACTGAAATCCAGTCGTCATGGGTTTGGAAGAAAACCATGGAAAAAAGTAACGCCTTTAAAAAAAAAAATTTAAAAAAAAGACTTGAAGTGCACAACTGGACGAGTGAGTTCAGGATGGGTTTCCAGGTACTGTAAATCTTTACCTTTAACCAAGGAATGCCCCCTAAACCACAGATCGCCAAACCCAGACCCCTTCCTGCATACAGCACCAGTCAAATAAGCCCCCAGCATCTATTCCAAACCCCCAGTTACAGTGCCACTCAAAAGACTATGAAGACAAAACCTTTGTAAATGAACTTCTACTCTTGATTCCCCATCCAGTTTCATGCACTTATGGAAGTTCCCTTTCACATTTTTTAATTATCTTGTTTTTGTTCCTGTATATTTACAAGTGAAACATGTAGGGTGTCTTGACTCATCACTGCTGTCAATCTGTTGATGGAAAAAGAAGGACACCACTGACTTGAAATACAAGTGACTGTGCTTTCAGGAAATTCCAAATCAATAAAGCATTTCAAGTTTTTTCAAGCTTCTCTCTGCCTTATTTAACTGGGCTGAATGAGCAACATAATTGATTTACTTGTGATGCACAACAACTAGCAGCATTGGTTTAAGTACTCTTTACTGAAGTAAAAGTGATAATACCAAAGTCTAAATATTCAGTAAATTCAAATAAAAGTGTTCTATTCTAAATGTAAATTGTGAGTACAAAAGCAATATTTAGTTAAAGTAAAGAAAGTACTCATTCTGCACAACAGCGTTTTTAAAATAATATATTTTCAATTGAAATATAATTATTGATGCAACAATGTCCCCTTAGTGTCACTTAGAAATAGGAGCTTTTCTTTGTACTATAAACTTTCATGAAGCGTTTGAATTTCACCAAGGGATCAACTAAGTTTATCCTAACCAGTATTCATACATATTGCATTTTTATTTGATGTTATTTTGTATTATTCATCTGAATCTAAATATTCAAATTAATTTAATGTATCAGACAAATGCATTTGGGTAAAATGGCTTGCCTCTGGGTTGCAGTGGATCAAGTATCAGGAAATAACAGTAAAGTAGCTAAAACAAATGTACAGAGCTTAACTAAATGAACTAAATGAATACTATTAACAATGTCCTGCAAAAAAATCAGGAGACATCATTTGACAGCAGGGCATTTATCAACAGTGAAAATGTACGGGTAATGAATCATAAATACAACAAACCAAACAGTTGACGAGTTTAAAGCACTGACATAAAGAAGTGGTCAAGATAAGCATGCGCGCGAGTTTTCAGATCTGCACCGCATCAGACCCCGATGTATGTTTCCAGCCTGCAGTTGCATTGATCTGCCGATAGCAGTGTGTCAAAGCTGCGGAAGCCCAGGAAGTTTGAGCCAGTTGGAAGGATATAGAACCACATTGAAACGCGCCTTGACGCACGGTGGGAACAGAAGCAGCGATGGGAGCTTCGCAGACGCGCGCTGAGCACCAGTACCAGGACCTGGCTGACAAAACTGGGTGTAAGTAAAGGAAAACCCTCTTGGAACTTTTGTATTGGAAAGTCTGTAATTGTTGTTTCAGTGAGAGGCGTTGTTGGTGCGACATCGTTACGTTTAATGGCACACAACCATGTGGATTATCCAGGAAATAATTCAATACTGGATCAATTGAAACCTGATTATTGAACGGTTTACCAGAATTATCTCATATTCATAAAATGAATGAAATTCAGTGCTTTATCGATATTTTTTAGAATTACAATAAGGGTTTTACTATTTTCGTTTCTGCATTAATGTATGGTGATATTTGTGAGGTGAGCTGTGTTGTAATAAACTACCTTACTCTTCCTCTCATTATGGGATGTTACAGCTTAAATAAAGAAACAACATGCAGACCGACACAGCAGAAGTGTTTAAAGATCTATTTTAAGGAAGGGCAGGATCTTGATGTGAAACGTTTGCATGCAGTGCTATGCAGAGTTTGAGTAGCAGTGATAAGGTTTACACCAGACTGGGCCCAACTGTATTGATGCGGGTGAGACTTTGAACTTTTGTATTGCTTTCATATCCTCAAGGTGAGTCTTTGACCCCATTTCTCTCTGGAATTAGTTCTTGACACTAATGAAATTGTGTATTTCGCTTACAAGCCGATACTTGTTGGTAAAGCACTGACAGCAACCTGTGTTGTTGTTGTTTTGCTTTGTAGCCAATTGTGTGCAAGTGTTCATTCTTCACATGTGATAAAGACACCGCCCACTGTAGCCAACCAACTTGTTTCTACATGACACTGTGTCTGTATATTCTACACCACACACTCAGCGGCCACAGTTGCTAATGTAAACACTTAGCACCCTCTGGGAAAGGTGAAATAGGGACAAATGAAACAGAAGTATTTAGTGCAACAATTAGAAATTCCAAACACATCTCGATATGGGACCAGGCTGGGTCAGATTATGTAAAGTGTATGTAAGTGTAAACCTTTGGTCACCAGTCCACACAGAGAGTTAATAATTCGAAGAATCCATGAAAAGACAATCCCAGTAAAACAAAGGGTGTTGTCATTAAACTGATAGTAGAGCTGCTATTGATCATTTATATAAAGTACGTTTAATTGTTAATTCATAATCCAATACATTGTTTTAAAAGTAAGCCAAACAACTTTTCAAAAAGAATGATCTTATACTATCAATTAAAGTGTCCCTAGAAAACAATTGAAGGAGTGCTTGTTTATGCGTGTGGAGTAATTATGGGTGTACTGGACATACAGTACTTTTATGTTGTTGTTATTTGCTTCTTTATAGTTTCATTCGAGCAGATCAAAAACCTTTACCAAAGATTCCAGCAGCTGAGCGGAAATGAAGAGACAATAAGGTAAAACAGTTATTAACAATTGTTTTTAGAAACCTGTACAACCTTTTAAACACCTGTTGCAGAGCTCTGTTGGTCAGCTGCTTGTGTTTTTAAAAGACACGTTTTAGTCATGAAAATGACCTGCATGGTGGTTCATTTGCACACAACTAGCAAGCAACATACGGTGACACAAAGGCTGAACTAGTGCAAACACAGACACATTACTCAAATACAATATGTTGATACACAAGTCACACAGAGCTGACGCAAACTGTACACACACACTCTCTGATGTCTAAACAAATACACATACACATGCCACATTGGCGTAATGGCATTGACTGATGACAAGTTCCCTTCCTTAAAAAGAATCAGGGAACAAAGATTGAACATGTCTATACAGTTGACCTCCAGGTGAACTTACTGTTCATATTACTTCCTATAAATAACATTCAGCCTGTGGTAGTATCTGTTTTATGATCATTTCTCTTGTCGCCCTGCAGTAGAGCAAACTTGGACAGCATACCGGCCCTCGCCAACAACCCAATCAGGAAGCAAATTATTGGAGCATTCTTCGATAAAAGGTAAGAACAATCACCCCACCCTGCCAGTTCACCATATGTCTAATGGCTATTGTATTTGATACTAGTACTATAGAGATAGTATTATGAACATATTCACTTTGAAAACCAAAACCTGTGAAATCCAAAAGTCTTCGTACAATATAATAATAGTTTTGAAAGTCTACACACCATGACCCATTTCCCATCCTACTTTGTTAGAATTTAAATGTTCTGTCAAAAAATGATCAAGGTGTCTCCCTGTCGACAGCTCGGTAAACACAAGCTGTTAAATAATTCTCTTATGCTTTTGATGTATTCAATTATGATTCCAATACTATCTATTCAATCCTAATTTAAGGGAATCATTTGACACTGGAAAATAGACTTGTTTTTTTTCTTGCAGAGTTACAAAAGAAGATTTATCCCAATCTCACATACTGTATGTCTGTAGGAAGCTACCGCTACCTTAGCTACCGTTTCAGTCTTCCTGCTGATGTTAGCATAAAGACTGGAGCTCTTTATCTCAGCGTAAACGGTTTTATTTCTTTAAAAGCCTAAGTTATCTGTTTCTCATGCTGCTAAATAATGTATTGTAGCTGTAGTGGGTTACCCTTACTATAATTTTTTTTGATTTGCATTAGTTTAAAGTATTTCAATGCAAGCTACAGGCTAATTGATAAGCTAACTGACGGGTGAATAGTTTTAAATTGAGAGTTGTAAGAGGCATTTATCCCCTGAAATGTTTAGCCTGCAATAAACTCTTGAGTGCTTTACTTCGGTTTGTTTAGTCAAATGAAAGCAATTCCATTCAAGAGCAGTATTAAGTTCCTCTAATTTAGATGTGGGATTCCTTTTAGAGAAATGTGGTGCAAACAAAATATGTTATTCATACAAGTAAACAATATTTAACTGATGGGTTTTATAAGAGACAGTTGTTGACATTTTGAAATAGTTCTTCATTCTTTGGGAAGCCTAAAGGGCAGACCACAATATGGACTGGCCAATAAACAAGCTTTCTCTGAGTCCATGTGACTTTTGTTCACAGCTGATCAATTATCATGTGCACAATGGGCACACAAAAAATGCACTGGTTCAGATATTAGATTATTTTATGAGCGCAAATGAACCAGTAGAATTCAATGATCAAAATGTTACAGAAATATCTTTCACCAGGCAAAAGTCAAGACTAAAATTGTAGGGCATACAATTGGCGATTTACAATTTAGCAAATTGACCAAATAGTGATGTTCGGGAAGGCTTTCAAAAACAATGTCTGTTGAATTTGAACTTAGAAGACCTAAACTTTGAATTATTTTGTATCTGTGACCCAGGAACCAGCATCAGGATGAAGTGGGCTCTTGCGATCAGATTGGCTTCGAGCAATTCCTCATGGTCATGTCCCATTTCCGCCCTCCGAACTTGAGAACGACGGATGAGGAGAAGGAAGCTATGAGAAAAGAGAAGCTTCGCTGTGAGATACTGCACTTTATTTTTCATAATTGCTTTGGATACAACCAGATATACTTGTTGGTTAAGATGCCCAGCTAATAGTATAGGACTCTCAAGTGTCTCCCTTTGGCTTTTGATTCTATTCCAAAACACCAGGAAAGAGCACCGCTCAGTATAGACACCAAATCAATGGTGTGTATTATATTTTAATAACCACCAACATGTCACAAGGAGTGTTGTGATGCATAGCTTCACAACCACTGTCACAAATAGAGCATTTATAGCCTCTAAGTCAGACCCACAGATATAATTATACCATTAGATCATAATCAGTTTGTTTTCATCGTCTATCCCAGGCATTTTAGGATGAAGTCATTCACGTTTTTGGTGTATACTCTTCCCTCTAACCTACCTAGTTGGATTTGTTCCTTCATTTCCAAGAATTACGTTAGGGTCAAACATAGGCAGATGGGAATCACCTGTACTAGCGAGTCTTGATTAAAAACTAGGAATATCTTTGTCCAGTTGGTTTGTGAAACTTAAACAAAATTGCATTTGTGAATATACTTAATTTAAAAACAGTATTAAAGAACATCTACCTATAATGTAAATGAGGCTTTTGCTGTGTAGAAGGCTCTGTGTCCCTTTAGACTCATTGCAGTAGATGCTGAGCTGATATTGTAAACAGACCTAAACTCATTTGTTTACTCAAATTAAATAAAGCGTCTGACTTGGCTTTGCTATTGTAAAATATAATTTGGGTATGTCCTCTGCTGCCCTATAAAAGGCTTTGGGTTCGACTCACTCTGTGTTAAGTTGCACATTTGTCATGCAGTTGGGACTACTTTACATAACCAAATACTGAAAGAGAGTGAGTACACTGAGGCCACTAGATCCTTATAAGGTGCAGAGTTGAAGGTGCTATGTGTAGGTGGCAGGAGGCACAGATTATGGGGTTTAGTGCCAATTCATGCCTTGGGGCGTCAAAGCAGGTAAATCTGGCCATGCAATAACTGCTAGACAACAAATTCTTCCAACCTGGGGTGTGTCTCTTATTGTAGCTAAGGCATTCTCTCCGAGTTCAAATGATCTGTAGGTGGATTGGATTCTGGTTTTGCTTTATTTTTTTATTTTCATGACATTACATTTCAGTTGTAATACAGTCCTTTACTGTCTGGTTCTAATAGACTGTCACAAAAATGCAATTTGCCATTTATGTTTTGGATCACTGAAACTTGTTGTCACTGCACTGGTTTGGCCAGCAACCAAGACAATTCAAAGCTCAATTCAATGTTGTTACTATTTGATTGAAGTAGACAAGACTCTAAAACATTAGGTGGTACTCAAGTAAATGTACTTAAATACGACTTGTAGTATTGAAACTTTTACCTAAGTGAAAGATATGAACACTTATTTAGTGGGAATGCTGACCCAGCATTATCTGTTATGCTACGCACGCAATTATTTATTATTCCACCGGGTTATTTTGCACCTCTTCTTCTCCCACATTGAATATCGCAGAAACTCCGTTCCAACTTCAAAACGTTCAGCTCGGTCGGGAATCGATGGCTATTACTTTTATCATTCATAACTTTCATAATTCCAGAGATACATCCCATAATTAATCACATTTTTAACATGGAAGTCAATGGAGAAACTCTTCAGACTTCAACAATCTTCATGGAACTTCAACTGCTAACTGCTCCTTCTTCAACTGCTAACTGCTCCTTCATACTTTCACTCAGAAACCTCATTCCAACTTTAAAATGTTACACATCTTTCTGATATTATTCGTGTAACACAACTTCTAAATCAGATTCTTACTTTTAGAGATATTAAACATTATTCAGACCTTGGTAAACAGGCCTTCTTCAGATTTTAGAGTGCGTGATGTCACAGCTAGAGTGGAGGACAGATTTAATTTTGCCTTCATATTTTCTTTTAAACCTGCCATAATTCCCAAACCCTACATTCCTGAGACATAATTTTTCATGACAAACGTAGGAGAACATCTCGTAGCTTGAAAGATAAAAAAAAATTAATTATGGGGTGTCATCATATGCCGTTTCCATGGAAACGCATCCCTTGCCATAAAAGACGATGTCGCTATACATGAACTCCTATGAAAATGTTCAAAAAGTGCTCAAACTTCACATGTGTGCTAACAGTCCAGCCGTGAAGACATCTACGGGACAGTTTTGAGATTTCTTCAAATGCCGTTGCCATGGCAACACAATACTCGCCCATGAAACACGGTTTTCTCATAACTTCAGTGAAAATGCTCCAAACGGCCCAAAACTTCACAGGTTTGGTAACGATGCAGCCATCAACGCATCTAAGCGTATTATGGGGTGTCATCAAATGCCGTTGGCATGGAAACAGATCATTTAACATCAAGTTAGTTCAAAAGTTTGCAGTTAAAATATTCTGCTGCTTTTCCAAGCCTTTTTACTTTCTTTTCTTCTCTCATCACACATTCAAGCCCCCAGTGTTCATGTATCATTTCAATCTAAATTCTTCACTTTCTTCTTACACATTACATTTCAGCATAGCAGTTTAGCGTCAGCTTTTCCCACCAGCAATTTCTTCAGGAATTGCATTCTCGTTTGACTTACACTGCCACTGTGTACTTTAGTATTTCCTTGTCAACAGCTCAATCTGTGTTGCTTTTGCTGCTCAAGAAACTAAGTGCCAGGAAAAAAAAACAAGGGATGTACAGCTTCCTGTAGAATACATGCAGATTTAAGATAATAACAGGAGAGCAGTGCGGGGGAAAATAAAAAAAACTCTAGTTTACTTGTATTCCTGTGTTATTTATATAAGGGGGTCTAGCTGCCAAGGAGATTTTTAAGAACAAAAAAGCATAGTTTTAAAATTCAACATCGCAAGGGTTTTGATAGAGGAGATAATTAACAGACTATTAACAGACAGTGTCTCCTGTATCTGAACACTGAACATAGCCTATCCTTCTTGGCTTCATAAAGAAATGTTTATCTGTATTATTATTTTGCCGATCATGTTCGATTGATGTTTGTTTTCCTTTGGGACATGCATAAACAAATCTTTCCCTGGAGTCACAGTGTTAACTGATATACCTTTGAAAGGACATTGTGAAATGGAATGAGGAGCAAAATTACATAAAAACTAACATTCTGTCAACTGTTCAGAAATAACTTAGGTATCACAGACAAAATACTCATTGCTCGATGAAACAAGTTGGCAGTTAGTGCCACAGGACTGTTAATCATGAATTATCACCATGGGCCTGGATCTTGTAAATGTCACTGTAAATGAAAGTAGTCACATTTTAAATGGCATTTTTAGCCTAAGTGTGAGTCTTTGACATTTAGCAGTGGTTGTTATGATGCGTCCTGAAGGGGACCTGCATACTCTCATCACTGCATCTTCAACATTCCTCGAATCACAGCTTCCTCTGATTTAATTTGTAAGATCCTTGCTTCTTTAACTTGATGACAGAAATGTTTTCTCAGTAATCAGACTAACCTCTAAAGTTTCCCCTTCTTTCTTCGCAGTTCTGTTCAACATGCATGACTCCGACAACGATGGCACCATCACTTTGGCGGAGTACAGGAAGGTAAAAAAAAAAGTAAAATTACTTTTTCGCGTACAGTATCCCTCACACAGAAGCTGGCACGTTTGTGTGTCTTCTTACTCTATTACACACACTTTTACATATTTCTATATATTTTTCAATGAAAGTTGCAATGGCGTATTGGACAAACATTAATATGTTCAGATGAAATGTCATACTATAGTAAATTGATGAAAAGATATAAGTATAGTATGTCAAAAATATCAGAACAAAGTCATAGTAGTATGTTATGGGTTGAAAATATGAAAAATGAATTAAATAAAATGTTTATTTTTTAGTATGTCAAAATGAAAATTCATAGTATACTATATCGGAAAGAAGCCAAAGTATAGTATGTCAGAAAAAGCAAAAGTTTAGTAAGAAAAAAAGTCAGTATAACATGCCAAAAAAAAAGGTCATAGTTTAATACAGTGGTTCTCAAACTTTTTCTGTCAGGCACCCCCTTTGGAGAAAAAAAAAAAGTCGGGCCCCCCCAACACAAATAGTCATGTAATGGGCCAAGTTAACATTTATTAAAATACATCAATATGAAAGTGAGCATTCCTTTCAAAAAAATAAATAAATCCCTTTGCTAGAACAGTGATAATAAAACAATGCTCCATAAGTCTGTGTGCTCAAAAAAACAAAACATAATACAATTGTGCAATCACTTTGCTAGAACAATAACTTATAATACTTTGCCACTTTGCAATCTGCGCAAAAAAATAAAAAGAAAGAAAATGCTGATATTTGGCAAAAAAGTGTGTCTTATCGCAGCATTAGTGGCTGCAAGGAGCCTGCTTTTCACTGCACGTTTCTTCAAAACGGGGTTGCAGGCTCAGAGGCGGCGCCAGAGATTTCTTTTGGGGGTGCTCAAACATTTAGGGTTTCCCATTAATGTACCGGTCGCTACAGTGGAATTCTCAACTGCAACAATCCCCACACGCGCATACACAGTGTACCAGCAACCGTTACAATGAAGGCTTGATAATCAGCTCACGGCATATATGTGTAAGCAGTAAAGTGGTATTTTTATAAGTGGGGAGTGGACCTCACATAGGGGGGTCCGGGGGCATGCTCCCCCGGGAAGACTTTTTTTTAATATTGACGTACTTGTACTGAACTGTATCATATTATTTTCGAATCAATAATTTTTCAAATTATGATTTTTCTTTTTTTTTCAAAAACATTTTTCCTCCTGGTCTCTCGCGCCCCCTCCCCCCCCCCCTCCCCCCCCCCCCCCCCTCCCCCCTCCCTGTCATGCCTCTGCCCCCCACTTTGAGAAACACTGGTTTAATATGTTGTAAAGTATGGTTTGCATCAGGTACATCAGTTAAAACATCAAAGTATGTCGAAAAAAAGTAATAGTTTAGCATGCCGGGAAAAAAGTAATAGTATACTATGTGGAAAATAATGTCATAGAATGCTATGTCGAAAATATGATCGAAAATGTCATAGTATAGTATGTTGGAAAGAAAAGGTCATAGTATAGTATGTTGGAAAGAAAAGGTCATAGTATAGAATGTCAAAAATGTATAGTAAAGTATGTTGTGTGTTGAATAAATAAAAAAGTGATCGTGGAGTATTACGAACATCTCAGTAAAATGTTGTTTAGTATGTCAAAAAACTAATTCATAACATATATCAGAAAGAAGTCAAAGTATAGTATGTTGAAAAAAGTGATAGCATAGCATGCCTAAAAAAAAGACAAAGAATAGTATGTAAAACATTTCAGAAAAACATCACAGTATAGTGATTCCAGGAAAGAAATGTCAGAGTAGTATGAAGATAATATCAGTGTAAAATCATAGTTTAGTATGTAAAAAAACATCAGAAATAAAATGCCAAGAAAAGTCAAAGTGCAGTATGTGGAAAAGACTGTCATAATATAATATTTTGGGATTTGTTATATATAGTTATATAGTATGACAAAAACTGACATTTGGAAGTGTCAACCCCTGATGTTTCTTCATGAGGTTTAAAGACTAACAACGTTTTCTTTCTCCTTCAAGGTAGTAGAGGAGCTAATGTCGAAGAGTGGAGAAATCGGGCAGGAAACGGCCAAGGCCATAGCAGACGCTGCCATGTTGGAAGTGGCAAGCATAAATGTGCCCAACATGGTGAGGGAACTGACCACAACTAAACTGTAACAATTCATCATACAGCCATATTTATCTGCAGCAAAATAACACATTATTTCCTCTTCATGATTTTAGGGCCCAGAGGAGTTCTATGAAGGAATAACATTTGAGCATTTTGAAGAGGTTTGCATCTTTTAAACGTATGGTCCACCTAATATAAAAAAGTCCGTTTTTGTCACTTACTTGACATCATTTTGTTATCTCCCCACAGATTTTAAAAGGGCTTGAAATGGAGTCCAGGATGCACATTCGCTTTTTGGATGTGGACACATCAACAATGCGTTGTGGGAAATCCCAGTCTTGAAGTTGTTCTTGTAAAGAAAGTTATATTGCTGCTGTTTTTAGCAGGGCCTCTCAAGTCCTTAAATCGAATGAACCAAAAAACTTGATTATTTTCAAATGGAGGGATGTAGTTATAAACCAAAAAACATACTACTAGTACATTTTTATATGATTAATAAAGACTGACAACATGGTTAAAATAATCAAGTCGAAATACATTTATCTTTAACTTTTAAGCCTTTTTAGGTTATTTCTGTTTGAACGCTCTGTGATCTTTGGAAGTGTCATATATTTAAAAAAGATGTGTTAATGTTGTCAGGTTGTTATACTATCAAACAACCTCTGCCTAATATAACCAGCATGTAATGTGAAGGATTCTGTGTACTTTAGTGAAGAAGTTCACATGTTAGATAGTCTTGCTCTGGCATCAATGGGTCGTCTGTTATGGCTCTCATCCAAAGAGTGGGACTGCACAGCATTCCTCCACAGCTCCAGAACAGGTCACCTTTTTCTATTCCTCTCAGACCGTGTAACCAAACACTGATCTCTGCCTTAAAAAACCTCCATGTTTGACAGCTAGAAGGATATTTAACACTTTCCCTGAGATGATTCAATACAACTGTTTTAATGAACTGAAATGTATTAATGAACAAAATAAATGTAAGAAACCAAAATGCATGTGATTCTTTTAAGAGAAACTTGTACAAATGTATAGGAATCTTATTTAGAAAATCAGGTAAAATTAGGACATTGTGTTCCTCTGATGTTGCCCAGCAGCACTGATCAAATACAGAGATCTAAATATCACTTAAAAAACGTATTGTACAGTGTTTGCAATCCACATTGTGAATAAAAATACCAACAAAACAGACAGTGTACATTACATGGTACTTTTCCAAGAAGCTTGATTCCACTATGACGATTAAAATGTAATAAAATAAAAAAGAATACAGTTTGGAGAATCAAACTGATCAAAGATTTATAAAGTCTGTCAGTCAGTCCTGCTGCAGTTTGATAAGCTGCTGTCAGAGGGAGGGGTGGGCGCCCGGCAGCCTGTCGTAGGGCACAGTCAGCCCGATGTTGTAGTTGTACCCGGAGGACTCGATGTAGTCGGACCTGCAGATGGGCAGGATGTGATCCTGGGACAGCGCGTCCTCCGAGAAGTCGTAATGGCAGATGACTCCTCTGTGTCTGAAGGATAAACACATGAATATGTTCAACAACAGAGATATTCATTTTGTTCTTCCAAAGTTGTTAAAAGTGGATGTTTGAGAAGGACATTAGAGGTTGTGCAGGTAACTTGTATGCCATACAAGTTAGAATTGAGTAGAATATGTTTTCTTTCCCAACAAACTCTTTAAAGTACTTACAATTAAGAAAAACCAAAATATTGGGACAATATTATAAATCACTAAGGAGCAGAGGAATTCTTAATAAATGTACAATTGGGGGTGAAGAAATCTCCAGTTTATATATTGTATTTTATGTTTCTATTGAACACAAATTATTTTATTTTACAATAAAAAGAAAAATAGGAGGTTTGAATACAAAAAGAGAAATCAAAAAATCAAAATTACAAGAAAGTTAATGCCAGATATTTTTAAATAGACTAAGACACGTTGGCTAAATGTGAGGCACAAATAGGAAATCATCTCAACATATTCTCGCCATGATCTAAACTAAGACTATTCTGAGAAGGGGTATATTCAGCTATAATTGTAGTCATAACCCCATGTTACCTATTCCTCAAACACCTAGAAGAAAGACAGACATGTGGAGGTATGGTCATTTAATGGGCCACATCCCAATTGGTTAAAAGCTTTTGTGTGTTTTGTTCACCTTTTAAATCACTCCATGCTCCTCTGTGGGCATTAATAAAACATGCAGCTGAGAGCAGCAGGTTGTCTGAGGGATGAGTTCCCAATTACATTTTGCGAAAGCATAAAATAAAAACTGTTGGGGAAATATTTTCCAAGGCCCATAACTTTGACCCAGTTTATCAGTTCAAACTGTCCTGACTGAGCACAGGCACCTCGTAACCTTGGCTGCTGTGCTCTCAGTGTTCTGTCTCCCTGTTCCTGCCTGTTGGCGTCAGCTGATAGAGGTGTTATCATTCTATGTTCCTGCATGTTGGCGTCAGCTGATAGAGGTGTTATGATTCTATGTTCCTGCATGTTGGCGTCAGCTGATAGAGGTGTTATGATTCTATCTTGTTATGCAGCATGTTGATGATTCTCTCTGAAATAGCTAAATACACGGGTCTGGGGTAGAGTTCTCCAGATTTGACGTGGCAACTCTACCGTGAAGTCAGAACCTCTGGCTCTTGGACTTGTGATGTGAATCCTCTGGCCGAAGCTCCAAATAAACCATCAGTGTTTGACATCAAAGCTCCTGCTCTTCCCGTGTCTCTTTCCTGAGTCGGTGACTCCCACTGCATTGCTACACAGAAGTTTCCCTTACAAAAACAAGTATTAAAGAGCCTTTTTTAACACTATCCCATTTGTAATTATTCGGAGCAGTAATAATTGTTTTGTAAATACACACTATATTTTGCCTTTTAAAAAGGCATAGCTCAATATTTTGGAGAATAAAGTGACATGGATATCAATCTTCTCTCTGCAGCAAAGCCAAAAAGCGTATTGCCAAGGTTGAATTTGCTTTTAAAAAACAGAATCGGTCGGTTTACTGATTTTGTATGACTTAGAGACTCTGTAAGAGTATTGTGGGGAATGGGAGGTGGATGTCGAGAAGAGATCCTTAAAAGAGGAAGAAGAAGAGTGGGAGGGGGCTCAGTGACCTGCGGTGAGCTGTAAGGTCATCGTCTGTGATGCAGGCTCCCCTCGGCGACTTGTCATCGGGGATGTTGGCGGTTACCAGGGTGCTGCTGTTGAAGTTAACATGCCTGACAGGATGCCTGCAGCAAAGACAGAGAACAACACCTTCAGCAAAATAATGTTTAGCATTATTTTAATTTTTGTACACATTTGTATTGTATCCCCTACAAAACGCAGCATACTCTTCCATTTTCCCCAGATACGTGCCACGTAGATGTGGTACTATATTTGGTTTCAAAATAAAAGCCTACATGCATCTTAAAGAGGCCCTATGATGCTAATGTTCAGGTTCATTTTAGCATTTTGTACCTCTAATGGGACATGTTTACATACTTTAATGTTCAAAAAGGTCTTTTCTCATACTGCCTGTGTAAACCAGAGCCCAGTCTGCTCTGATTGGTTGGCTCTGTATTGATTGGTCAACTGCTTAGAGATGTCCCGCCCCTTAGCTAGCATGTACTGTACAATGTGTTGTAGCGCTGGCCAATGGAAGCTGTAATGTTATGTAGTTATTTCACTATGTTACGGAAGTAAACAATGAAATCCAATGGAGGCGTTTCAGGGGAGTGTGTGGGAGAGAAGCTCCCTCTGGAGAGAACGTTGGGATTTTAGCCTTTATAGACCATTTACATGCACCAAGACATAAATAACACACTACAGGGAAGGGAAAAACCTAAAAAGCATAATTGGGCCTCTTTAAATATTAGGGATAATTTGCAATTCTTATTATTTGTGGCACTTGCAGTAAAGAACAACATTAACGTAAAGAAAACAAACCGGAACAATGACTCAGTTAAATGGGTACCTCTAATCTCAAAAGGCACACACCATAACTGTGATGTGTAAGAAACAAACAGAAAAGCTTGGTTGGAAAAAGACATGTGACACCTTTGAAGACTGTTTAACTTCACATGTGTATGTTATCACTGTAGCCGAGTTCCCCTCCCTGTGGCTCAGAGGAAAGATTATCCCACCTGTTGTGCATCTCCCACAGCTTGGATCCCATCCTCATCTCCCACACACACACCAATCCCTCGCCTCCGCCGCTCACGATCTTCCAGTCGTCAATTTGAACGGAGGTGACACCCAGGTGGTGGCCGTACAGGGACGCCACAGAGGAGCTGGATCGCAGGTCAAACACCCTCACCCTGAAACACAGTGAAAAATAACAAATGCTTATTTTTGCCATGTCATTGCGGTGAGCTATGCCAATTGAGAAAGATTATTTGTGATGCTTTAAAGTTAATCAAGTAATGAAACACCAGTCTAAAATGGCCGCCCTTTTATTTAGGAATTTCTCAAACAATGAGAAATGATGAAACGGATAAAAAGGGATACAAGTGAAGTGAGTACAATGGTATCAGTCATTTCCATTTCCAAGCGTTGTTATTTTGTATCTCATTTCATGCACAGTGGGAAAGCTCCAAGACCGCAGAAGAGAACGAGTGCAGTGTGTCAAAGAAAGCATTCATTTACAGACAAAAGGACACTATTCTTGTTGAACTTTTCAACATTCATCCAAGAGAGCAAAGACAAATACAAACCGAAGCGGCAATACAAGCTGTAGCTCCTTAAACCAAATATCACAGTATGTCATCTCCTGCTGTCTGTCTCCAGAAAGGATTTACTTCGTTCACTGGATATGGCATAAAACAATACACTCATAATAAAAAAGAGTAACATAAAGTGTAGACAGAAAACATGAAATTGATGTTACTCCACCCAACTCTTAGCATTACCATATATTTGTTTAATGAATTAATTCCTTACTTATTACATTCGTCTTCATTTTCTCTGTATTTTTCTGATTGCATGTGCCATTTATTTACTCAAATCAATATTCAGATATTGTAAGTTCTGCTTTGAGAAAGGCGTTATATCCTCTTTTATTAAATCATGATTATTATTAAAGTAAAAGTATTTGTATTATTACTATTCATTATTTTAAATAGGTTGATCATTTAGCTTGCTGGGTTTCACAGGCATCAGAAGCCCATGGGAGCTCCGGCTCCATCTGTTGTCATTGTGGCTTTATTGCAGCTGAGAGCGTCCAGGACATGACTCCATCCAGCTCGAGCTTCTTCCAGGTCTTCATTACCATAATCAAATTCACTTTGGGGACTCTAACAGATTTAATTTCCGCTTCCACAAATGTTTTCAAGAATCAGCGTTAAATGTCTAAATGGGCACTGCGGTCCTGTTGTCTGCAGTTCGTTGTTCCTGTTCAGTGGCATTACGTGATGGAAGCACACGTTTAAACAATGAGGGCTGAGCGTTACTGGCAGCCAGCAGGGAACCATAACTCTGATGTTGGAGTGAGTTGTCGGTGCCCAGACTCCTCTTCATTAATCAGGAGGAGCTGTGTCTAATCAGAGGAGTGCTGAGAGGCTCAGATATCTCCAGTTAGTTTCCCACCACTGGACGACACATTCATCATTATTCACTGAGGACTAAGTTTGACACAGCCCTGTGGTTTGTCACCCTAGGTGGTCTTGTTGGTATTCCGGACGAATGCATAACTTCCATATTCTAACACGATTTGGCAGTCGTAGTGCACATTAAGTGCTTTGACAGGCTTTGGTACAGTTTTCTATTCTGCCGACTAAGTTGTTTCCCGATCATTTCAAGTCAATCAGAAGTGACACAGAGGATGAAGTTAAGTACCATCAAATGATGAACAAGACATTTTTATCAGACAAAATTACTATATTTAACTTTCAGAAACAGAAACCCAATAACGATAGAGTCTAATTACTAAGACAAAAAACAAAGAAACACAAAAACTGGACAACAACATTGTAACAACCTGTCTATCACATGTAGCCACTCCCTAAAGCATT